AAAGGGGAAAGTAACAATGCCCGCCGCCCAGAGTGCTATCATGTCAAGAATTAACCAGCAGCATGGAGCCGGCAACCAACACAATGTCATGGTCCATGGAAGGCATACAGTGTCAGTCATGTGTTTGAGCCCTCCAGCAAGCATTGGCACTGTCGCCCTAGCAGGGGGCCGGGGAGGGTGGGGGGTGCTCGTCGGGAACCGACCCCTTAGTGCCGCCCCCGGGGTCCACACCCACCCTTGAAATCCCTCAGCCCTGCAACTGCTAGGCCCGGGGGACTGGGTTGCAAGAAGAATCACAGAGGCAGCGGGCAGTTGCATTTAACAGGATTGCGTCGTCGTCGTAGTCATCAGCATCTTCACCATCGCTATCGTTACCACCGACTGGCTTGGGATGTCGGCTCCCAGCTTTTCTGTAGGGATCCAGAGAACCGCAACCGCATAGCTTTGAGTTTCAGTGGCGGTGCCGCAGATTGTTTCGAACATCAAGGTCGCTGCAGGAGCTTGTAGTTTACCTGTCTGTTTATGCCTGCTTTGCTGGAATTTGAGCTTGGAGCTTTTTGGCTGATAATCATGAGCACTGCCATGGATAGCTGCTTTTGGATCGGTAGATTCGATATACACAGGCAGACCTTCGAAGCATGATGTTTCGGTGCGGCAATTAAAGCAAGCTCGTGGGCGTGATTGCGAAGCAAAGTGAGGGACCTGCTTGTCAACCTCCCGGTGTTACTGCTGTTGGGCCCCAGCCCCAACAAGCAGTGTAAAGCATCTTAAGGCAAGTTTTCAATATGACTGGCGTTGTAACCATTGACTCTGCTTGGTTTGAGCATGCTGTGCGACTAATTATGCGGCTCTTGGAGACCATGGCGAGGCTGTGAGCATCGTGCACATGCGTGCCATGCGCTTCGTGGCTGCAACACATTTTTCCCTGCGTGACGCAAAGAGAAGCGATTGTAGCATGCTCAGGTTCGTGCGAAGGGATCGATGAGGCTTGTTTCGCACAAGAACCGCACTTCGCTTGACAAGCAACAGCCACCATGCAGGGGGCCACGGTGCTTTGGGAGGTTGATGCAGGTGCCCGCAAACCAACATTGTCCAATAATTGATGCCGCCTTCGACAGAAGGCCTTGGCAGCCAGCTGCAGCAGGGCTTGGTCATCGATGGGTACTGGCGCCTGCTGGAAAACGAGTTCTGCCGCAAGCTTACGCTTCCCCTGCCTTCAAGGCGCGCATACTTCTATGCTGTTTTTGTCGGAACCGGCCGAGGCTTCATGAGGGGTTTCGATTGGATCTGCCCCGAGTGGGCACTGCGAGCATCTGAGTCAGAGGACGTTGGAGACGGTCTGGGAGAAAGTCCAGCTGGTAAAGGCAATGTAGATCACAGAATGGAGCATTAGTGCAAGTCCTGGTGCCAAAGCGCACCAGGGCACCACGCGACCACGGCGCTCAGACTGAAACGTGACGGAACGTACAGTGCTGGTTTGCGACTTGCTCCTTTCTCCGTTAATTTATTTAATTGCGGCAGCGAAATTCGATTGTAGCTGAGGCAGTTCTTATCGGACCCTTCAGCGCCTTCCACACCCGTGCCTGTCTGGCAGTGGCGAGTGCGAGGCCCGAGGGTTTCACAATCCTCGCACGTTGGACTTTGGCATGATATGCGTGTGGCCACAGCACGAGCCGGGACTCATTTCAAGCCTGGCGGCCTGGCGCTGTGAGTGTGAACACGTGCATTCTAGCGTTACGTTTTTGCCGTGACAGGCAGAAGCTGATGACCAGACTTGCTGCATATCAGCCATACAACAAAATGGCGGATGCTGTTCTGTATGGTGGGCTCGTGGCATTGCACCTGGGCAAAGCATGGGGTGCTTTGAAGTTTTGCGAAGCCTTGTTACCTGTTGTGACTTGACATTGCTCAGGACCTACTCGCTCGTGGCCTTATCGGTGTCTGCTCCAGTGTGCAACGATGCGCCTTGTCGATGTGGCAGTGCCCATGCTTCCAGCCGAGGCGAACTGCAAGCACACGGCGCAAGATGCTGCCGAGTTTGTGCGCTACGACTGTGAGGCGTGCCTCGCAGTCGACTTTTGAGCACCTTTGCCTCGCCTTTCTGCGCAGGAGGGGAAGTACAACCCCGTCGCCTCACTTTTGCTCACAACCTCCGAAGGAGCTGTGAAGCGCTTGTTTTCCAGGCGGGCTTTGGCACTTTGGAGTAAAGCTAATACCTGCAGCCGGCAATGCTCAGACAAGCTGCGATGCCAGGCACGATGCCAATGAAATCCATTTTAGGCCAGATCAATCCTTCAAACCGCTGCATAGGTGGTTGTGAAAATAGCAGTTGTTCTTGTACGAGCATAGCAGGAACGAGCTGCTGGCGTTTGTGTCCTACACAAGCCTCAACATCGGACTGACAGGTGCCGCAGCATCGTCACGATTTTTGAAAGCTTCTAGCAGGCTTCATCGCCATGCATCGGCGTGAGTGTGGTAGGCGTGCCGGTGCCTTCCGGTAACTTCACCGGCTCCATGCTGATTGGCGGGTCAAGCGCTAAGATCGCCCCTGGTCACGTTTTGCGTTGAAGTGACCCTGTAAGGTGAGAGCTATTAGCTTAGGCTGATTGGACGAATGATGGGGGCCCTGGTTCGAGATTACGGCAAACCTGGCATGGCCGTGCCCGGGACTCTGTACCTGAGGTCTCGATCTCGAGAGGTCACGATCAGAAGAAACATTGCAAGTACCTTTAGAAACAGCTGTTTTTTGCCTCGATCTCTGAGGTCTGGTGTGTATGCCATGGTGGGGAGTGCATCCATGCTGGCCGGCTTCAAACAGATGGCCGTCGCGGTGGTCGTCTTTATCACAGGCTTCGTGAGAGCCGTGAGACGGCTGAGACGGGAGCTGGGACCGGCCGCCCGTTGCGTCGAAGGAGCCGCCAACGATCTTGGGCTTGTGCCACCACTGATGCTGGCAGTTCTCCTCCTGTCTGTTGCCCTCAGAGAGGCCTTCCTGTGCAACTTGAGTCTCGAGGTCACCATCTCATTGCTTCTCAACAAGCTGATCAACGAAAGAGGTTTTGACGAGGCCATTTGCAGACTGGCTCCCCATGTTCGGGTTTCGCAGAGCGAGAACATGGCAGGAGCAGATCTTGCGAAAGGCGATTGCATACTTGCCAGTCCTGGACTTAGTCAAAGGCCAAGCAGCACCAATGGGCGTGGAAAGCTTGTGCCAGTCTGACGGGAAGAAATGTCTCGAGTTAATAAGTTTGGTCCCAAATCGCGGAAGAATTGATACACGCCTTTCTGTCTTTGTGTGGGTGCAATGCCGAGACAAGGAGTTGAGGATTGTGCTGACCCGGACAGTTGCCATTTCCCATTGCTGAACGACTGCTAGTGTCATGCTGCTTTTGTTCGGGTTGTCGCTGCAAGAAACATTAAATAACTTTAGGTAGCCTGCAAGCCGCAAAACGGTTTCAAGCTGCCTGGGCAAGCAGCACTTACACCGTACAGAAAAGTTGCGGACATACGCCTAAGGCAGAACCCCCACGGTTGATGGATCGCACAGTGGCCCTGGAACTATGTGATGACCTGCCGCCAGAGGCAGTACTTGCTCCAGAGGCCAGGCTTGCAAGGCCGTGCAAGTTCAAGGAGAGATTTGGCTTGCTTCGAGGTGGATTTCCGAACGATCCAGGCTGCCTTACAACAGGACAAGGCCCCACAGTACGAGGCACTGTTTGTGCTCTGCATCGACGGACAGACGCGGGCAGGTGGATTGCTTCCCAGTCCTGAAGGAGGGTGGTCACTGCATAGGCCCTTACTTGTACCGACTGTGGAGTGACGATGCATCCGATGCATGACATTGCCTCCCCTGGTAGGTTTTACAACTCGCGCCCGCTTGCAAGCAGCCACGGAGGTTTGGCAGGCAAGGGTCAAGATGTGTTCAATGCGTTTGGAATGGTACATGTTCCGAACCACAGCCGGCACCTGAATCCCTTGCAAATTTTGGTGATATCACTTCGGGTGAAGAGTTCTCTGTGTGACAGGCATCGGGATTTATGGATGCCTCCGATCGGGGAGCTGCTTCGTCCCTGAAGGAGGTCCGGCCATGCTGATGATTTCAACCGGTTGACCTTGCTGTGCAAATTGAAGTCAGCAGGCAGTTTCTGATGGGGGTGGAGAGCAGATGGGCAAGCTGGTTTCCGCTGCCGTTGCAAGGTCTCCACTGCGTTTCCGAGTCGTGCGAGGGTTGTGGCATCTTCCACTGATGTCGCAGGGAATCGAGCTTTACGGGCACTGTTCTGCCAGTCAAGCGCCTGACTGAGCGAGCTCCGCACACTATCCTCGAGGACTCTTGAACTTAGAGAAAGACATCGAGAGAGAGAGAGAGAGAGAGAGAGAGAGAGAGAGAGAGAGAGAGAGGCTCCAAGTGCAAATGCATGGGCATGTTTCTGGTTGCTGAGCTGTACACCTCATAGCGGTTAGCCACAGGGGCGCGGTGACGAGGCGGGTTGGGGGTGCGTTAGTGTTCGGGGAGGGGGTCACAGCTCAGACATGTGGAACCTACTGTCGAAGCCAACGTTAGGAGCAGCCGATGACGATCCCCGCACGATGGATGCTCGAAGCTGCATCGCGGTAGAAAGGCCGAGGGTTGGGATTTTGGGAGTCGCGTGCCCGTTTTTGTGGCAGCGGAGCTCCGATCAGGAGGGGCTCTTTAGGCACCGGGGCTGGGGCTTCGGTTCTTTGGAGTTGGGTGTTTTGATTTTTGGTAGTGGCCGGGCTAGTCCTTGAGCCATGAGTTTTATCCGCGATGGTTCGGGCATGGAGTGGGAAAGGATCGAGGACAGCGAGGAAGAAGCCGAGTCGACGACCACTGTGCTTCCGGAGGAAGTTCAGCTGCACACAGCCTCTCCGTCGAGGGAGGCGAGTTCCGGGCGATGGACGCTTACAATGCGCCCTGTTGGACGGCAGCGGCTACCGTGGCCGCAGTGTTGCCAGGCAGCTGAACTGGGAACCGGCCCATGCTAAAAAGCCGACCGCAAAGTGATGAACATGAGTGGAGCGGAAGCTGGGAGTGGACGTGGGGTGACTGGGCCGAGCAAGCTTGGCGCGCTGACCCTTGGTCAGTCTTTCTCGACTCCGAAAGACCTGGCTGGAGGAACCGGAGGTACGCCAACTGGACGGATGCAAGTGACACCAGCAGCCAATGGAGCGGCGAGAGCCCAGACGATGACCGGGTGCCCTTGCCCAGACTGCTGGCGCGCCGGGAGAACAGTCCGCCCCCGGCGCCCAATCTGCCCAAAAACCCTCCGGCGGAACGAGCCCAATCAGGAGATCAAGGCGTGGCCTTGAGCTATGGAGGACGTGCTGCTCCTTCCGGCGATCATCCGCAAGACCTACAGCGAGCCCTTCGGCTCGATTCGCGAGCAGCACCGGGCCCGGGACAATCACATGGCCCTGCGCAACTCCGAGGTGATCTTGATAGTGAGTGTCTCGGGCAAGTCAGGGATCGACGGCGACATCCAGGTTCGTGTGTCCGAGCGCCCCGTGACCAATGCTGGAGAAGAACGAGAATTCTTGAAACTTCACAATTCGTTTCCCCCGGAGTTCAAGGCTCGCCCAGGCGAGTCATGGAAGGACTACTGGACCAGTAGTCCTTCTGGAGGAGCGTGGAGTTCTGGCTGGCCAGCGAGTGCGTGAACCTCCCGGCCGGCCTCAGTGCGCGGTTCGCGCCTGATGCAACAGATGCGGGAGAGGGCGGGCAAGATCTTGAACCACCTCACGGTGGCGGATGTTGCCACGGATGGAGGTGTGGAACTGATCAAGCGCGAGATGGAGAAGTCCCCGATTATACGATTGCTTGAGCACAAGGAGGTGGACCGCAAGCGGCAGAAGTTCATGAAACTCTCCCGCTACCCCAAGGAAAGCTTGGAGTCGTTCATCAATCGGGCCTCCATCTACCGACATGAGAATGATCAGTGCCAGAACTACAAGGTCGGGACCAAGTTCTACTTAGGCCACTTGCTGGATGCTGCGAAGCTGTCGCGGAAAGATGAGGCCCTCATCAAGACAGCCTCCCAAGGGCTACATGATGAAGGCCGTGTTGTGAATGCGATGCTGGATTTGGCGGAACAGCTTGAAGGGCTTCACGGCTACCCCATCGGCAAGGGCGAGCCGGACATGCCGGACGAGGATAAGTACCTCTTCCAGCGTCGTGGAGCAGAAGGCGAAGCGCCGGCCCGCCGCGATGAAAGGTCCGGGAGGTTCCAGCCTGGGGCTAAAGTGGCTAAAGGTTCGCGCCGGCATCGCATGCGAAGCAAGTGGAAGCAGGTTTTCCATACCATCATGGAAGACATGGACAGCTCCGATGATCACGGCTCCGAGCCCGCCGTGGAGGACGAGGAGCCCGAGGAGATCGAAGCGGTCACCGGGGAGGATGAATCCACCTCGGGTGAGACGGACGCCACCGCCGACATCCCGGCGGAGGTCTTTGCCCAAGAGTACAAGGCGAAGAAGAAGGTCAATGAGATCAAGCAGATGCGGCAATATTACCGCAAGGACCCTGAGAAGACCAAAGCGTGGATCAAGGAGCAGCAGAAACGGGAGCCGTGCTTCTTGTGCCAGAAGCTGGGTCACTGGAGCCAAGAATGCCCGCTACGCAAGAAAGGCGGCCCGAATGCTCGAGCCTCCCAGGGTACATGTGACGTCGGTGACTCCGGGCCCTGCTACCAACGAGCCGGAACAGTGGGACATGCTCGAGTCTCTGGCCGCGTACATAAAGGAAGAGCCGCTTGTGGTTTCAGGGGTTCGCGAAAGTGGTTCAGTGCATGGCTGTTTGGTAACTATCGACCATACTCCTTTGGACCATGAAATCTTTTGCTCGATGAGGGAACTCCACAGCAGCTTGATTCTTGATTTGGGATGCATGAAGTCGGTGGCGGGAACCAAGTGGGTGAACCAACATATTCAGAGGCTTCGGGGCTTGGGAAGGTGGATGAAGGCCATGAAGGAGAAAGAGAGTTTTCGTTTTGGTGATGGGCATGAACTTTGTAGTGAATATGCCTTCGTCTTCGAGGCCACAATCCTGGGTGTGCGGGTGATCCTCAAGCTTAGCGTGGTACCTGGTGAATGCCCACCTCTCCTTTCCAAGCAGGCGTGTTCTCAGATGGGAATGATCATCGATACTGAGTTCCATACTGTGTCGTCTCGCAATCTAAAGGTCCAGAAGTATGGTTTGTCGCAGACTTTTGGTGGTCATTATGCCCTTCCCATCGCCGAATTCACTGAAGGCATGAAGCCCATCCACGCCCCCGACATCCCCGAACACCTTGAGGCCATTCCGGTGTATGTTGCACATCATGAAGTACAAGTCACAGAAGACTCCCTTGGGGCCCCGCTGAGATCCTGGACCCGCCACGATAAGGCCATGTGCACTACCGTAGGTCCTGGAGCCAAGGGTCCCCCGCGGCATGCAGTCTGTCGTCGTGTGGTTTATGATGCATACACCGGAGACAAGCTGATTGAAGAGTCAGTGGGAGAGCACACCCCAGTGAGGCGTGCTTTGCAGTGCGAGTCCGACATTATATCTCTGTATTCATGTACCGCACGTCGGGCTCAGGACGCTCTTTGAGCACCAATTCGATGAACGCTGAGCCCCCCACCGTTGCGAGCGCTGACCTCAATGGAACTCCATCGGAAGCCGGAGCCTGCGGCGCCAGCGGCAGCGCCCCCTGCTCGTCCCGAACGGCATCGCATGGACGAGAGCGACCAGGAGGACGAGGACTACCGGGGCTCTCAGCAGCATCCGACTGGAGCAGGGTGGATGTGCCATCCGACGGCCCCGAGAGGTCGACTCAGCCGAAACGGTCGACTCGCCGAACGTCCTTTGCCTCTCGGAGGCACTTGAGAAACTCGCTCGAAGTCGGCAACCAGCCGGGGCAAATCCAGCGAAGGGGAGAAGATGGCCGTGACCAAGGCCTTGGACAAGAATCGGAAAGGTACCACCTCCCCGAGATTTCGGAGGGCACCACACACCCCGAGAGCGAGCTCAACGGCACCACCCACGCCGAGCCGACCGACGACCTCTACTACCATGGCGTCGCTGAAGGAGCAGGTGGACGAGCTCGAGGACTAGCTGTGGGCCTAAAAGGACCCGACTTCGATAGTGGTGGAAGGCTTTGGAGGCGGGCGACCTAGTGTTGGAGGACCTGCCCCCACGCCCCAAGGCACGTTCGTCCTCGACCACCACGGTGACGACCAAGGCCAAGGGCCAAACTCAGCGAGTGACGGCGCTGACCGACCTCCAGGCCGACTTCCCGACCCTGCCCAATCGTTATTCGGACGACCTGGTGATCAACGTGGCCCTAAGCTTGACGTGCCAGCTCCTGACGTTCAAATGGAAGCAACTGGTGTGGATGCTAAGGATCCGTTGGGACGTGGAGATGGAGATGGGCGACCGCTCCAGAATCCCAGGTGGCTGATGATTATGATGGGGAGGCAACTGGCGTCTATGTGGGGTCATCTGGGTGCAGCTCGTCAACTTTGTGCAACGACCCGAGGCTAAGCGCGATGATGAAAGGCGACCCGCTCCCGACACCGAGAGCAAGAAGCCGTCGAGAGGTCTGATGCAGAAGATGAAAAAGGGGGTCGCGAGTGGTCAGCGAGCTCTTTCGCTGCTCACCTTGGCAGCGATGGTTCCTCAAAGATGGCATGTGCTGGAGGTTTTTCCCACCGAAGCCCCTTGTGACCAGGACCCGGAGTAAGCCCTTATTCCTAATCCCCTTTAAAACCAAAAAGGGCACCCTCTTCATTTTTCTGGGTTACTCTTGGGTCTATGTCGACTGACAGTGGTAGCTCTAGGGAGCGCTGTGCAATCACCAGGCAGCAATGGCTCGCAGTCTACTCTTTTACTCGCACGCTAAGCAGTGCCTGGGGGCCCGTCTCCTTGGGCCAGTCGTTCTGGCAAGCGGCAGCTAGAAGTCTGGAAGCAACAGTCACTCACAACAGCTCGGCTGTTTACAGCTTCCAGAATTCTCTTTGATTCCAGACTTCTTGTGGCGTACTAACGCACCTTGTGCTTTCAGCAACTTGCGTTTCTCTACCTCCTGTGCTTCAGCCACGATTCGCCACCGCCCGCTCTCAAGAACTTTGATAAGCGGCTCTGCGTTGCCGCCTACCTTGGTCAAAGAATCCACCAGCATGCGGTTGTGCTCGATCCATCTGATGGACGCACCGAGTTCGGACAAAGTTTGCCGGATGATTTGCATCTCAATGGCAGTGCGCCGATCCGCCGTATGACCGCACGTCTCTTTAGACAAATGATCGTATAGCGACTTAGCATCAACAACAGCACGGTTACGACAACCCTCTTGCTTCCCCGGGACCACACAGAGGCGTCGGTGCTTGAGGGCCTGTTCCCACTCCTTCAACTCAAAACCTGCGTGCGTCAGCTCATTGAACAAAGTGACGCACCACATGAGATCTCCTAGAGTGCGTGACAGACTCATGCTCTCAGCGGCTAAAGTGGAATTCACTACCCTATGGATGCGACCCGACTTCCAATACAGGATATTGCATTCAGCTGCCTCGCCCTTGTGGATCCCAACGTTAAAGGATACTACGCAGTGCCCGCCCTGGGAACCGCCGTCCCTCACATTGCCGTAGCTCGCGTCGCTGACCACTCCGAAGCCGATCTCTTCCTCGGGAATTCCGTTCACTTTGATGCAAAGGCTCGCCGATGCTTTGGCGCGCTCCGCGGTTTTGTCGATCTCCTTCAGGTCTCGGACCCTCAGGTCCGGAACCCGGCTAGAGAGGATACTTACCTCTCCCACCAGGTCCGGGCGGCCTTCTCGACCCAACCAGTTCAAAGAGCCCAGCACGGCCCTCGCCTCGGAGATCCTGGTCCGTCGCCCGCTCGTCCGCGATCTTGCCGGTGATCTCCACGGGCGCAAGCCGCTCCTCGATGAACTTCTGCAGGTCGTAGGAGAAATTGAAGCATTCGTCCTGCTTCATCCTTCTCCCATTGAAGCCGACCCCTTCCAGTTCTTCTTGAAGGAACTTGAACTTGCCGAAGACAAACCTCCGCCGCAGGGCGTCTATCTGCTTGTAGTGGTCCTCGTCGCCTGCTGTCCACAGGTCGTCGACCTCTACGATGACCATTCCGGCCACCTGCCGCTGCTTCTTCAACAGAAACAAAGTGGGGTCCATCACTGACTGCTCAAACCCCAATTGCATGAGGGCCTTCTTCAGACTTCGACGCCAGTGCGCCGGGGCGTCGTTCAGGCCGTAGGCTCCGGCCACGATTTCCAGCAATTGGCCTGGGTCCAATCCTTTCAGACCGTTGTCGGGCTGGCGCGCAAAGAGCCTGCCTTCTTTTCGGTGCAGCTCCTCCGACTGGCAAAAGGCGTTTCGAAGGTCGATGACTCATGCCCTCCATCGCTTCATGGAGGCCACTTGCATCGCCATCGCTAAGGTGAGCGAACTCGCCGTGGGAGCATGGCGTTCCAGGCTGAAAACATCTGGGTCGCAGTCCCCCCCTAATACAAAGGCGAGATTTCCGAGTTGGCTTTTCGCCCGGTAGCTCTCCCGGCTTGTAGCGCCTCATTATCCGGGTTGGGGGCACCCAACCCACTGTGGCTTCCCACTCTGTCTTCCTTCGGCCATCTCTCTCTGACCGACGGCCTTCCGCTTGTGCTCCCGAGGTTTGCGAAAGACGTAAACCAGGTCCCCGGCCTTGTACTCCTCGGCGGTCCTCGACCTTGCCCTCGAAGCTCGAGCGCATGCTTCCCGGCCTTCAACTTCATGAATGCCTCGGCTGCTGCACTACGTATCTCAAGCACTCGGCGCATTTCTTCATTGGCACCTCCCTCGACCAGCTCGGCATCCAGGAAGTCGTCGCTCATCAAACATCCTGGGATTCTCGGGGCTTGCCCTAAGTGACGCTGAGCCGGGGTGAAGCCACTCCGATGGTAAAGACGGTTCTTGGCCGCCTCGGTTTCACGAAGCGCCGTGGCCCACTCCTCTTTCGTAGTCGGGCACACCTCGTCCCGAACACGCTCGAACAGCAACTTGGCTTGCTGCCATGGTGCCCTGCTTCCCACCTGCCTGGTGACGATGCCGCGCCCGGCGGCCATCTCGCAAAACTCCCGGCCGAACTCCGTGCCGGCATCCGTTACCAGCACCTCCGGGGAGCCAAAGGGCCGACCCCATGCTTTCCAAAACTTCCGAAAGGCCTCTGCAGCCGTCTTCTCCCGCATCGGCTCAAGCGCCTGATAGCCCGAGCCCAAATCAATGATGTTAAGCACAGGCTTGAGCTGCCTGGGGTCCACGTCGGGAAAGAACACCACGTCAACTCCGACAATGACTCCTGGCCGGTAACCCCTACTCACTGTGGCGGGGCGGCTCGGCTTCGGCAACGGTCGCGACTTGCACGCCTCACACTCGAACTTCTCCTTGACGTATTTCTGCACCGCCGGGCTCGCCTTCGCTCGCCTCAAGGTTCTAAGGAAGGTGAGGGAATCCGGGTGCCCCATGTTGTCGTGCATGCGCTTCACTAAAGTTTTCTGGTGCGGGGTCAACTCCTCTGCTGCAGCCAAGTTCGGGGCTTCCGCGGTGCCCTCCTCGGGTTCCAAAGGCTCGGCCTCCAGATCGAGATCATCTGCTTCGCCCTCGTGAAAAACTGCACTGCCTTTGGCCTGATAGAGCTCGTCCTCGAAAGACCACCTGATCACAGAGCCGAACAAGGTGAAGGAGGAATTGCATGACAAACTGGACCACACACGCTCAACATCAATGTGGGTGCCTTTGGCAAAGAAGCTGGCTGCTCCAGCCTCGATATTCTCCCGGGGCTCCTGCACCAACAAAGCTGCAGAACCCTGCTTCTCGAGTTGCCACCGATACCAATCACAACCGTACTTGCGAAACTCGGGACCGACATACAACACCACCGCTCTTTTCTGACCCAAGTCCACAGACTGCCACCGGAATGCTTCGCCCGGGTCGAGCATCTGAACCACAAAAACTGCACACGGCACTCGTGAGCACCGAAATTCATGCCAACTCCACGCTGGTTCCAAATTGCGAGCGCCGTCTCTGGAACATTCCCCGCTCGCCCGCGGGCCTGCAAATGCCCTCATAATCTTCTTTGCCTTTTGCTTCGACAGCGTCTTTTGTTCCAGCCATGCGTTGCCATCGCTTCCATAGAAGTCTTCATGAAAAATTCCCCGCACCCGGACGCCTTCACTGAAGTCCGGCACAAGGCCAGCGGCAAAATGCCACTGGGTTTGGCACGCCCCCTCGCTATGCAAAGGCTTCCACCAGTAGCCTTCAGAAGCGACCCGGGCCCTTCCATGGCTGATCCTCTCTTCCAGCTGCATAGCACGCCACCTTTTGCACACAGCGGGGTTTGCAAGGTCCACCGCTCCGGGTGAATTCGACCCCTCCGGGCCGGGCTCCCCACTCATGCCGGGCTCCCCGAAATCCCGCTGGCCATCTGCAACTGGCCCAAAGCCGTCTCGAACTGGCTCCGCTGGGCCATGATCGTCCTCTCGTACTCCTCTTGGTTGCTCAACAGCTGGGCCTGCAACATCTGGATCTGCTCCTTCTGGTCGCTCATCTCCTTGCGCTTCTCTCCCTGGAGCTTTGCCACCTCTTCCTGGTCCCAGTCGAAGTACTGGCACACCCAGAAGTGGCGGCCTTCCGTGGGGCCCGGCTTCTTGGTAGCTAGCCTCACCGCGGGGCTGCCGCACAAGCAATGTGGTGTGCCGGAGGGCGCCGGTCCAGTCATGGCGGCATCCTCGCGGCACCGCTGCTCTGCGATGAACTCCTCCGTGCCGTTGGCATTCCACCGCCCGAGGCACCTTACGCAGTAGACGTCCCGACTGTGACCATTCCCAGCTCTCTTGAGGATGATCGCAGTCCCCAATCGCCACGGCCGGTGCCGCCTTGGCCTTCCTGGCTGCAAGCACTTGCGCCTTTCCCGAAGAGATCCAGCGCTTGTAGTCCCCAACCCGGGCTGCCGTGCGCTTCCCCGGCTCCCGGGGTGTCGATGGCTCCCATGCCACAGGCGCCGCCGCAGAAGGCAGCCACGCATGCAGCAACGACCCGTTGAACCAGTCGGCCACGCGTGCCTGAGTGTCGGCGAGGAGGATGAGGTCGATCAACTTGTCCATCACCAACCTCCAGGCGGCAAGTGCCCTCCGGGGGTTGTGTCCGCCGCTCGGCCCCGATCTCGCCGGTGACGAAGGTGCTCCGGAACGCAGCTGAAGCAAGAGGTTCATGGCCCGAAACAGCCTGTTGCGCAAATCCTCCAAAGGACCTACTTCCTCCAACGGGCTGCGGCTCGACACGAAAATCATCCTCCCTGCGACCTACCCGAGCTGCTGCACTTGGAAGCTGCCACTCTCTGCACCCAAAGTCAAGCACATTTATGGTGTAGTGTCCTGAAGGTAGACGTTGCATCGGGACCGTCATGTTCAGGGCCCGCAGCTCCAAGCACTCCTCGTCGAGATTGATCACGGACCTCAGCTGCTTCAGCAACTTAACAGGCAGCAACAACCTCACCTTCCACGACCGCCGCCTCCATCACACCGGCGACCCCGCCAATGCTAAGCGGGAGCTCGCACACGCCGACGCTTCGAGCCTCACCCCCGATGCCCTTGGTGCGCACCACACGGTCACACCATCGAGGCTTCAGGCCTCGGCTTCTCAAGTCCTCCTCTAACCTTTCGAGGGCCAACCTTCCGATGACCCCGTCCTGCGCAGCACTGTCCACGATGCCGTGGTGCGACTGGGTGGTGACACCGCTAAAGGAAACTTCAGGAACAGACCCCGGGCTCTCCACGACACCGCGCTCACAAGGGCGATCTGGCTCTCTGCTCTCGGTCTTGCTGGCTCTAAGGAAGCTTCCTAGCAACGGCTTTTTGCCCCAGAAAGCACTCGAACCATCATCTCCGGACGCCTGGTAAAAGCCCGCCTTGCTGCTGGTGCCGCCAACCTGACTGCTTGACGCGGTGGTGGCTGGACCCCCAGGCTTGCGATACCCGTCAGGCTGGTTTGTGCACTCGGCGGCCCAATGGCCGATCTGGCCGCACTTCGCACACTTGGTCCGGAGCTTCAGCATGCTTATGTGGATACGCGTCCCAGCTCTGCGGTCTCCTTTCTTGCCCGTGCCCTTGCCTTTGCCCTTCGGCTTCTCCGTGGGATAGTAATCGCGCGCGTTCTTCTGCTCCTGGAGGGCCCGCCGGACCTGCTGATAAGTAGCGAGAGCTTGCTTCACCTCGGCCTCCTCGTATACCTCCTGAAGGTCCGATTGCTCCATGTAGATGTACTCCTCGTCGTGGTCGGACTCTTCCTCCTGCTCCTCGGCCTCGGCCTCGTCAAAGTAGGCTGCTCGCTTGGTCGGGCTGCCTTGCTCCCGCACCTTGTCCAGCTTGCGCATTGCCTTGATGACGGCCTCCCTGCTGAACTTGCCCTCGGTCCACGTGGTCAGCTGGTCCTCCTGCACGGTGCTAAGCCGGGCTTGCCGGAACATCACATAGCCCCGGGCCTCTGACGGTAGATCCACGCCCTCGTTCTTCAAGTCCGGAAGACCGCGTCCATTCTCACGATGTACTCCCCGAGCGACTCCTTGGGCCCGCGGCTGTCTCCATACACGGCCTTCTCAAAGGCTTTGGGCATAGTGGTCTCAAGGTGGGGAGCAAAGTACTCCTTGAGCTTCGCGAGGATGTTGTCCTTCCCCTTCTCGCCCACTATCTCGCTGGTCTCCAGCTCGTTGGCCGCCGCCTTGGCGACGCCGCCCAATCTTCTCAAGATGCGGGTCCCATGCTTGGCCTTCGGAACCTCTGTGTCAAAAGCCCACAGCTCCAATTGCCTAAGCCACGGCTTGAAGCTATGCCCTGGGTCCTCTCCGTCGAAGTAGGGAGGTGGCTCTCTATCTCGGTAGGGCGGTCCGGAGTCCTCGCCCTCAGCGTGCCCCGAGCCGTCGCCCGGCGATGGCATCAAGCCTCCACGTTAAAAACCACTGTCGCCCTTCAGCACCTCCTGGATCGGGTAAAAGACGAACGGCTCCTCAGCTGCAGCGCGCGCCGCCTTGCTCAGCCGGCTCCGCTACCACTGTCGACTGACAGTGGTAGCTCTAGGGAGCGCTGTGCAATCACCGGGCAGCAATGGCTCGCATGCTACTCTTTTACTCGCACGCTAAGCAGTGCCTGGGGGCCCGTGTCCTTGGGCCAGTCGTTCTGGCAAGCGGCAGCTAGAAGTCTGGAAGCAACAGTCATTCACAACAGCTCGGCTGTTTACATCTAGTTTAGTAGTTTAGACTGAAGGGCTGGAATTTGGCGGTTGCTTGGAAGATGGTTGGGGAGAATTTCAGGGTTTACCCGGACCCTGTAAAACCTACCGTTCTAGGGTTTAGGGTAGGGTTCTTTATGATGATCTGCTTATATAAGCCCAGTAAAGGGTAGGTAACTTGGATATAAGGTAGAGTTTAGGATTTAGGGTTCAGGACCTGACGGGCTAAGGTATTTCATGAAAGATGGTAGGGTTAAAGCTTTTCGAGCTTAGGGTTCAGGGTTTAGGAACTGTGGAGCTTAGGTACTTCGTGCCCAGGTACGTATTTCATGAAGGGGCGTAGGGTTGTAAGTTGCGTTTGAGGTTTTAGGTGCAGGGTATTTGGAGGTATATAGGTGGTGGTCAAAATAATGGTCCCTTTTTGGATCCTTAATATAATACGGCACCTAATATTTATAGGGTACCCAAAAAGGGACCTTAGAAATTGACAGCCACCCCTATAGGATTTGGGGTTCTGCGAAAAGCTGCGGCTTTGGAGTTTCCCATAGACTCCAAAAACCCTTTAATTGAGGGCTATATTCCTTAAATGATACTAGGAGCCCCAATATGATTTAAGGAATGTTCCTTAATGAAGGGATACTGGAGTCCTCGAAGCAATAGACCCTATAGATCCCTTATAGGTCCCTTAAAGGAACCCTTATAGATTGGGGTTTTGGAGTCTGTGGCTTTAGGCTTCGGAACAAGTGATTGTAAACCCTAAACCCTAAACCCTCCCTAAACCTTGGGCTTTAGGTCGGTTGTAACTGCGGAATGTCCTCAGAGTCTTAGGGTGGCCGGGGCGATGGTCAGGCTTTTGGATTTCGAGCCTTAGGGTTTAAGGGTCAGGGTTTAGGGATTAGGTTTTGGGGTTAGCGTTTAAGTTTTGGGTTTTGGGGTTTTGAGTTTGTGTTTTCGAGTTTGCTTATTCTTTCCGGGATTCGTCGCCGCACGGGTGCAGTGGGACATGGAGGAAGTCGGATGTGAGGTTGAGGGCGTCATTTAGGGCTCTGAATACCTAGATCCACTAAATCCTGCCTTTTTTGTAGGTTCTTTTCATAAGCCCTAATATGGGATTTATAGTTTATAGGGATCCTACACAGAAGTAGGTAGGTTAAGGTAGTTACGAATACTATTCCCTTCTACCTCTTGTTTTGTTACGTTTTAACTTTAAGCGTAAAATCGACCGTGCCTGTCCACTTGCGCACCGTCATGATGTTTCAATACCCTGGAAGAGTTCGGGGCCTTTGTGGGAGCACCCCTACCCGCCGACCGAGAAGCAATGCGTCAAAATGATGAACAAGGTGCGCGAGACCATGCCGGACCTGGTGGTGTGTGCCCCGATGTGCGGCCCTTGGTCATCGTGGACGCAAGAGAAGGAACGTGCACTGAAGGAACGCCAGCAGAAGTACGTGCCCATGTGGGAGTTCTTGTCTGCACTTTGGGAATACCAGGTCGAGAACCGCAGGCATGATCCAGAAGGGCGTCTACTACCAGATGGTGGACGCGATAAGTGGGAGGAGTTCGACCTAGATTTAGAGTTCGGCCCTGAAGGACGCCGAGATCCTACAGTTCTCCGAGGGCATGATCCAGAAGGGCGTCTTCTACCAGATGGTGGTCGTGATCCAGGTAGCCGTGATCCTGTCTATGATGCACGAGTGGACTGGTGCCAGTTTGGGTCAATCGATCCACAGTCGTTGAAGCCGTACAAGAAGGCACTGAGGGTGGAGACGAATGATCCGTTCTTTTGCTCGCAGGTCTCTGTCCAAGGCCGATGTGAGCATTGCCCTGGTAGTCATGAGTCAGTGGAGGGCACGAGCATGCAAGTCGATGGCACCGAGGTCCCAAAGGCCAAGCTGGCAGCCATGTGGCCGGAGAGGTGGATGCAACGAGTGCTGTGTGCGGCGCACGAGGCCCTCGAGATGAAGACCAATGGCCGAGTACAACCCCGTCTCCACGAGCCGTGTTCGAGCCAGGTTCATTGGGAGACGGTTCCCGTCGAGGTGGAAAGTACTCCTGAAGGCCTGTTGCGAAGTCATTTGGGGCAGGCCACAGGTGACAAGTACGACTACATTTACTTCGAGGGTGCCAGTGGATCATTGTCTCGCGAGCTCAGGAGCACGCTGGCAAAACTACATGTGGTCCTGGGACACGTGTCCAATGTGAAGTTGAAACGGATGTTGCACTTGAATGGAGCCAAGGACCACATCCTTCAGGCAGCTGGAGACCTACGTTGCCAAATTTGCCAAATGGTCACCGGCCCCACGGCTCCACCCAGGGCTGCCTATGATCGTCCTCAGCGCTTCAACCAGCGAGTGGTGGCAGATGCCTTTTTCATCTGGGACAGTGATGGCACGAAGTATGCCGTGATCCATGCGGTGGACGCCTTCTCCATGTACACGGGCAGCCTCCCTGCTTCCCTCGGTGCGATCGGATAGGGTGGCACACTTCTTGAAGAACCACTGGATAGGAGTGTTCGGCCCACCCGACATCGTCATGACGGATGCTGGTTCGGAGTTTGCTGCGCATACTGAAGCCCTCCTCAGAGCTTTTGATGTTCAGCATGAGATGGTGCCTCCTACAGTGAAGTGGCGCATGGGCTTGGCTGAAAGGCACGGTGCGGTGCTGAAGTTGCTGGTGATGAAGACGGTGAAGACTACTACAGCCAAGGGGTACAGCGAGACGAAGGAATGCGTCCTGGCAGCGGTGGCAGCCAGAAACCGTCAGATGAGAGTCGGTGGCTTTTCGCCGGCGCAGATCGTGCTGGGAAAGGACGTGGCGATTCCTGCGGCCCTCCTGCAGCAGATTTCAAGTGGCCACTTCCGCTATGTCCTCAACCAGGATTTGGCTTTTGATGAGGCCAGGAGGCGCAACGAGGAGATCCGGTACGCCGCCTCACAGGCCTTCATCTGGGCCGATGGTCATGAGACTCTGCGCAAGGCGATCAACTCGAGATCACGCCATCCCCGTCTGGAGATGCTGTACGAGGGGGCGGTGATCTACTTCTACGATCCGCCCGGTTCGCGAAAGGGGTTGCCTAAGCGACTTCAGGATCAAACGTCGTGGACGGGACCGGCAGTGCTGGTCGCTTTGGAGCGGAAGAACGGCGTGATCAGTGATCAAGAGAGTTTGGGCCAGATACAGGAACAAGCTCAAGGGCGTCCCGCTGGAGTTTGTACGCCTGGCCGCCTTGGAGGAGGTGGAAGGTTCGCAAGTATGCCAAGATGCGTTGAAGGAGGTGGAGAAGGAGTTGCAAGGCGAGCGCAATGAGGTCGAAGAGATGATGGACGCCGAAGTCGAGGACCCCGGCAACTTGCTCGAGTTCAGTGGCGATGAAGAAGAGGAGATGCATCCCGACGCCATCCTCCCTTCAGGCCTGCCGAGACCCACCTCGCTCGACGATGTTCCTGTGCAACTCCACCGGGACAACAAGCGAAGCTCAGTGTCTGCCCCGATTCCTCCCGCCCGTGAGTCCCGCGAGCCCAAGAAGGTGAGGTTCGATCAGGCAATGGAACAGGCAGCCAACCATATCTCCAAGATGAAGGCTGTCCTAGAGAAAGACAGGCCGAAGCCTCCTCTTCGACTGATGCGATGCTTGCAAGGTGTGGCACTGGGGAGAGGCTATGAGGTCCCAGCGCGACATGATGAAGAGCGCTCAAGGCCAGCGGGAGGTCTTTTCCGCACAAATTGAGAAGACGACGGAGGAGCTTGCGACAGCGGCGTCGGACGAGCTCTTCGTTCCCCCGACCATTGAGAACGACCTCCCCGTGACCGGCAAGCCTCGCCTGGAGTTCAAGTGGCACAAGTTGGATATGAAATGGAAGGAAGCCTTTGTGGCTCCCCTGAAGAAGGCCGTGGATGTCTATGTGGACAACAAGGCCGTGGAAGCTGTGGAAGAGGGCCAAATGATCCCGCCGGAAAAGATCCTCCCCTCGAGGTTTGTGCTCACGAACAAGAGCGACGACCCCGACCTGGCCAACGCCAACCTACGGGCCAGGTGGGTGCTTGCGGGTCACTTGGACAAGGAGGCGGGACAGTGGGCGACAGAGGCTCCCACGGCTTCGTTGATTATAAGGGTTTACGAAAACCGTTTCGGCATGGACTTGTGGCAGGAAAGCCCACCCAGACCTCTTTTTCATTCAATCCACACCCCACCCCCGCCCACTAGTAAACCCCACCACCCATCCCAACGAACCACCCACCGAACCACCCCAACCCACCACCCACGGGCTCAAACGGCTCAAACAGGACGTGTCAGTCGTGCGTGTGCACTCAAAAACATCCTTACAACCCTAAGACCCTAACCCCTAAACCCGAAATCCTAATCTTGAAAGCGAACTGAAAGTTGTTTGCTGTGGAACTCGAAAGCATCCTTTCTAGCTTTTTACGGCGTAGAGTTTTCACATGCTGTTGTAATTATTGTGAAAGAACGGCCACGTGTGCGCGATCCAAGGCCTGCAGATCAGCAGATTCCCAGTGGGTGGGTGGGTGGGTGGGTGGGAGGAAGGGGTGTGGAGGTTTTTTTTGGGGTGGTGGTGCCTAATTACAGCGCTTTGTTCAGTGTGTCGCCATGAATAATTGCTATGTTGTGTGAACAAAAGTGTTCTCCCTTAACATGTGTCCCTTGTGGGATCCGCCGTGAGTCCCGCCCCACATCAAACGATCACCTCGCAACCCCGTGCTCCGAGGCCACTGCCTATCAGCGCCCCCTGTCAAGGACACCCCAACCCACCCCAAAACTCCTTAAAATGAGCCCCGCCGCCTGGGGTGATCATTTGATTTTGGAGCCCCAAACTCCCTCATAACCGCCTGCTCCAAACACCTGCCTGTCAGTGTCGCCGGGTCAAGGCCAAACTCCCCAACCCACCCCAAACCGCCTTAAAAAAAGCAACAAGCCACCCCAAATCAAACCATCACCAAGACACTGGGGTGATCATTTGGTTTTGGAGCTCCAAACCCCTAAATCCCCTGCTCCGAGGCCACTGCCTATCAGATGTCTCGCTAAATGTCCCGTTTCAGGCAGATTGGTGGGTAGCTGCGTTTTTTAACGCGCCTCAGGCATCATGAGGCTTGGGGGAGCTGTTACAGTTTGGTGCTGTCTGTGGGGTTTGCTCGACCTGCTCGACCGTGCTCGACCCTGGGCTCGACCGGCTCGACCCTGCTCGACCCTCTGCTCGACCCTGGGCTCGACCTGCTCGACCCTGCTCGACCATTTGCTCGACGCATTTCGGTGCGCATCTTGTCTCTGAGCGTTTCCGCCTGGCTTCGACTAGACCTCCTGTGTCTCACCATGTGTGTGCATTTGCGGTACCGCAGTGTCGCTTGATGCACGACCCCCTCTGCCAATCGGTTTTCGTAAACCCTTGTATCGTTGATTGCGCATAACATTGTATGCTTCCTCAGCGCCCAGAACAAGTGGCCCATGAAGTTCGCCGACATCTCCGCCGCCTTTTTGCAAGGAGAGAACCTGTGCGCCGAGCGAGTGGTGTTTGTGCGGATTTAAGGGCTACCCGGAGGAGATTGTCGAGCATTTGCTACAGGGCCTGGCAGGCCCTCTCACCAGAAAGATGAGGAGGGACTTGGTGAGACTCACCAAAGGAGGTTTTGGTCTGGCGGAGTCTCCCCGACTCTGGTACCGAAGACGCAAGAGAGTTCTCATCGAGTTGGGCCTCAAGGAGCTGAAGTTGTCCCCGGGCACGTTCGTCTACTTCAACGAGGGAGAGCTCAAGGGGATCTTGACGATCCACGTCGACGACCTCCGCATGGCCTTCGACCCGAACCATCAGGACGTCTTGGAGCGCCTCCGAGAAAGATTCCGGTTTGGTGAGTGGCGCTCCGCCCTTGAGGAGGTCATCAAGTTTTGTGGGAGATGGGAAAAGCAGTGCCCGGCGACCTTCCGAGTTACGATCTCCATGGACGGCTACGCTACGCGAATAAGCTCCAGGATCCCCCAGTGCGAGCCCCCGGAGACCGACAACCGCTCACGGATAGTGAGAAGAAGTGGGTCTCTTCGGTGGGAGGCCAGCTCAACTGGATGGCCAGACAGGGCAGAGCGGATTTAGCCTTCGGCATATCCAAGCTCCAGCACATGGCCGGAGCCAAGGATCCCGAGACCCTGAAGTACCTCAAGGGCCTGGTGACGAAAGCCAGAGAACACTATGAGAGCTACTTCCAGGCCATCGAAGGGGAGCTCAAGGACATGGTCTTCCTCGCTGTCACGGATGCTTCTCACCGCAAGGGGGAATGATGATCCTCGTGGCGAATGAAGCCGTGATGGGCCGCGAGACGGTGGCTGCCTCATGTACCACAGCGCGGTGATTAAGCGAGTGGTCAGATCGAGTCTGGCCGCCTGGCCGCGGAAGTGTCCCAGGCGGCTGAGACGATGGACCAGTGCGACTTCGTGCGGGCCATGATGGGGGAGATCCTCGACCACCAGTTCTCCCTCCCGGCCTGGCAGTGGAGTGCCAATCTGTGGAAGGAGATTTTGGTGTTGGATTCCAAGACGGGCTACGATGTGCTCAGCAGCATCAACAACAGCGAGGACCGAAGGCTCGCCATTGACGTCGCCATCTTGAAGGAGGCGTTGTATGAGCCCGAGATGAACCGATGGGTGCGTTGGGTCCCGGGAATGACCATCCCAGCCGACGGGCTGACCAAAGATCCTGGGAACCCGATGCGCGACCGGGTGCTCAAAGGCGGACCCTGGAGCCTATGTGATTCTCCAGCGGCATCCAGCGGCCCAACGTCTCAGAGAAGAGGCGGGCCATAGAAAGCGGCAATGTAAAGATCGCAGAAGGGTCCGTGAACAGGAGTTTGAGAGTAAGCGACAGAGTGAAAGCGCTCAGTCAGGACCGTCATCAGCTCCAAATGGGGTTGGTGTCGAAGCCAACGTTAGGAGCAGCCGATGACGATCCCCGCAGGATGGATGCTCGAAGCTGCATCGCGGTAGAAAGGCCGAGGGTTGGGATTTTGGGAGTCGCGTGCCCGTTTTTGTCCTACTCAGTAGCAAGTGCAGCGGTCAGTGAAACCCCAAGTCCACTTACTAAAACAAGGGGTGGACGGGCGGGCTGAAAGCCTCAGGGTCACGACAGTGACCCCTAAGCCCGGCAGAAAGAAAAAAGAGAGAGAGAGAGAGAGAGAGTGTGTGTGTGTGTGTGTGTGTGCCCAAACCCCTTCGCTAAGCAAGCAAGCAAGAGAGAGAATGGAATCGCCTCAGCTGGTGGGATGCCCTCCTGGACCTAGTTGCACCCGCCGCTCATTGCAAACCGCAGATAGGAAGCACACCAAGCAAAGGACCCACCTACAGCACACCCGGCCGACGTCATAGCGCTCCAGGGGGAGACCACTGAGTGGGTGCCCGGACAGGCAGGACCATGTCGGCCACCGAGCGGCTTATGAGAGCCGCCGCCGAACTACGTGAAGCTGCTCCTTTTATGGGGCATGGCCAACTGGCTCCTGTCATGCAAGTACTGCATGCCCTGGAAGAATGGCAACAGTCCATGTTCGGGGGAGTGCAGGTCGTGGACAACGAGACCCGAACGGGAGACGAAGGAACCGCTGTCGCCGCAGCCGCTGGACCTGCAAAGCAAGGGGGCGGCAGCGAGGCTGCCACCGCAACGGCGACAGTGGAAGAAGGGGGAAGAACCTTCAGCATTTTCGGCTCAAGGCACTCATGTCCTCAGTCTCCTGCTTGGCATTCTCGCCAGTCTGCCCATTCGTTCTGATGGCCAAGTGTCAATCATTGTGGGATCACTCGAGCCAAAGAACATTGTGTACCTATCACCCCACACGTGATCACTCAACAATTCAACAATCCATCAACAGGAGAAGTCGCATCATCTGGATGGAAGTAGCAATCACGCATTTCATGGTGCATTCTTATCCAATACCAAAGGAGGATGATCCATCTATATGCAGTCCTCGGTGCTGCAGTCTCAGGATCCTCGAGATTGAACAACTGCAACAGTAGCTCCTTCATTTTCTCTCCATTTTGAAGCAGTGACCACAACGCATTCTCGCGCTCATGTTCCTCAACATTTCGACTCGCTCTCACTTTGCGCTCCAACTCTTCTGGCTCTTAGCCAGTCTTGGCTCGGATCTTTGGACTCATTCTTTTGCTCCGTTTCAACAACGTCAGCATTCGCCGGTGGCGGCATTTTGCCAACCATGGATCATGCGGACGAGGCGCACTCTTTTGCGCATGCCTGCGCTGAGGCTTGTGCGTCAGTCCGAATTCCACTCGTCTTCGCCAATCCTTTTCATCACGCGGCCTGGTATCAGAAAATTGGCATCTCTGGCAGTAACAGTCGAACCGTCTCGGTAAACTTTGTGCGTCAGTCTTGCGCCAGTGAGGCGAAGCACAGGTACCGGCGTTTGATCCGAGGGTCCAACATTTCATTCCTCCAGACCTTCACATGGCGGATCAACTTCAACTCAGTTTCATTCACCTCCCTTCTCGGTATCTTCACTTTCGAGCGAATAGGCAGTTTCGCATCAATCCACTCACCAAACATGCACAATGATCCATTGTATTCACGAGACCATCTCTTGCTGTAGGCTGTAGGTAGTCTTGCCATCAGATCCAATCAGGTAACGATTGATCAACCATTGCGCATGCTTCACACACCAAGTGAACATCGGAGAATCAGATGTCAACTTCAAGTCAGTCGACTCTTGCACTTGTGACATCAGTGTCCTCAGTTGACGACACAAGGTCCTTTGCACGTTTCCGAAACTTCCTTGACTCTGGGAGTGTCCACAGTCGGTGCTGCACGCATCGACAATCCGCCAATCGTTTTGCAAAGCTCCTTGGCAATCACCTTCAGTGAATTCTCCTTGTCATACTGAACAATCCCAAACGTTCTACCAATCTCAAGCACAAACCGAGGCAATTCGGCCACAGCATACTTCTCGACACTACTTTTGAAGGCAGTACAATCGCCATTGCATAACCAGTCTGCACGTCAGTTGCATTAAGATGGTCCTCTTCGGAAGATCATTCTCCGTGGACAGGACAGGAAGGAGAAGTCAATCTGGATCACAGGTTGTCGGTCATTCTTCTTCACTGCATGACTTTGTCTTCCTTTCGGCTTGACACAGTGCTCACACCAGTCTCGATAAGGAAGGTGAGTTAATTCATGCAGTCTCCTTTCACTCTCCGACGGCTCACCTGGGATCTTCAACATTTTTGGCTTCAATAATGCACTCTTGTCATCAGTCTGCTGTTCTGCATTCTCGCCAGCAGTTGGCCGATCAAGAGTAACAAACAATGTATATCCAGGAATATCCACTTGTGATCAGTTGGACCTCTTGGATCTTCGCACTTCTTGACAGTACCATCAGGCATCTCGATGTCAGCCCATTCATTTTGATGGCCAGTGTCAATTGCGATGGGTCACTCGAATCAAAGAACATTGTATACAGATCACCCCACAGACAGTCACTCAACAATCAGTCCACAGGTGAAGGAGCATCATCTGGGTGGAAGTAGCAGTCCACTCATGATGCATTCGTATCCAATGACGAGTAGGCACTATCCACCGGTCAGTAGTCCGGGGTGCTGCAGTCTCTGGATCCTCGAGATTGAACACTTGCAACAACAACTCCTTCATTCTGCTGCCATGTTGTGGCAGTGACCGAAGGGCAGTCTCCAATTCATGTTCTTCAACATTCCGACTCACTTTCATTTGACGGTAAAGCACATCTGACTCAGTACCGACGATCTCCATAGGGTCATCGGTCTTGCGGAATTCGACAATCTCACTATTCACAACCTCAGACTTATCAATTCCTTAGGATACTTTGGTCGGGTATTTTTCATTGACAGAAACTTTTCGTGTCTGACAGTGACAGTCGAGCCATCTCTGTGTTGCTTGAACGTCACTCTTTCTCCAGTCAATCTTGACCAGGGGCTGGCGCTTTGTTCGCCGGTTTGATCCTTGGACCCAACATTACATTGCGCCATACACGAACATGTCGGATCAATTTCTGTTCCGACTCATTCACTTCCCACATGTCCCAACGGGTACCTTCTTTGGCTGCTGCAACCAGAGCACCAATCCGGAACAAGTGGTCAATCGAGTCGTCATGCATGTCCGACACTCCACGCAACTCAACAGATCCGAGCCCATTCTGAATTCCAGCCATCACTTCTGGAAGTCAACTCGCTGCCATATTAGCCGCATCCGCCACGGCATATGGTATGACAGTCGGTGTTTGGTAAACCAGTGTGCTTTGTCTCACAATCGGCACAGGATTGCCAGTTGGATCAACCAAAGCCATGTAATCTTGAGCCATCACAGTCCAGAAGTCTTGCAGCAACAGTCGGGCGACATTCACCAGTGGGAACGGTATCCCAGTGCACACGTAAAGCTGTACACTCGACGAGTGGCCATTGCCACAATCAAGTTGCACAATCTTACGGCCTTGCACATCCAGTGTCTTCCCAGGCAAACTACGCAGTGAAGGAGCACTCTTATTCAACGGCAAAACAGGATAATCCGGAGCAAACCATTCCGGACAACAGTTCGCACAAGCTCCATTGTCAATCAATACCCACGACTTGTCAGTTGTCAGTCAGTCCATCTTGCATGTGAAGCTCGACCAGTCTGTCGACACAACTCAAGCGATCAGTTTCAAGCACATTCCGGTTAGGAACAGGAGGAGCTCCAGCACTCACTTCTCCAATCAGCAAGCATGCTCCCACGAACAAATTCGTTGCCAGTACTCGAACAGTCCTGGAAGATCTTGCTGCATTGTGATCCTGAGTGTCGACAGTCACGGCCGCTACATTCTACATTCGGCGGTGGCTCACTCTTGATGGGTTCCTGCGGGACATTTGCAGTGCCTTGCCCACTCGATGCGCTAGCACTCGGCTGCTCGGCACTCCACCATTCCTGAGGACCCCACGACCAGTCATCGGACCAGTAGCTCCAGTCATCTTCAGACCACGACCAGTCACCAGACCAATCATGAGAACCAATCCAAACCTGACTCCAGCCATCATCCCATGACCATTCATCACCATACCATTCCACATCCTGACTCCATTCCTCTTGGTTTCCTTCCTGTTGTCCTTCTTCCTCCGTCAAAGCTGACATTCGTCCTTTTCCTTTACCATTCGGGCATTCTTTGCTCCGGTGGCTCGGATCTCCACACAAAAACATCCTTGTCCTTTTCCTTTTCCTTTTCCTCTCTTTCCTTTGAATCCTTTTCCTTTGCCCTTGTACATTCCTTTTCCTTTCATTCCTTTTCTCCCCTTTAACGCCCCTGTCCATGTCGACTGGACCATCATTCCCGCTTGGCATTACAAGGTGTCTACTCTTGATGTAGCTGTACGCAATCTCCAGTGCCTCACTGAACGTGTTGATGTTCCTGACATTCAATCTCAGGTGCTGCTGCAATGGACCAGTCGTCTTCTGCATGACCAATGTAATCAACCGGTCATTGTCAAGCGGCACTCCAGTAGTCTTCTCATGTCTGTTCTTCAAGATGATGGAATCACTCAGATCACTCTCCAGGTGGTCATTCCGCAATCGAAAGGCAATGATCTCATTCATGAGATTCGTCGCACGAGCTCTGTTCGGCAGTGAAAACTGGTTAAACAATCTACGCCAAATTCCAATGCCATTGTCCATGTCTTCATTCCCCACAATCGCTCTCGCAGCTCCATCAGTGATCTGTGCATGCATGTATGCCAGTTGCTTAGCAAACAATGACATTTGGTTGGTTGGGGTAGACGTCTGTTGCACATCGTACGCTTCACAAACTCCATCAGTCACCACCTTCTGGGCATTCAGCTCAATCTCATCCATCAGTGTTTCGGCCAGTGGCTTGTACAGTCCTACGTACCTCTTCATCTGCCACGACCAATCATCCCATTTCTCCAACTCTCCGCGGTACGGAGGAGGCGGGAACAATTTCAGTTCACCACCAATTCCTGTCTGTCCGAAGCCAATTTTTTCTCACTTCTTCCCTTTCTCAGGAACCGAAGCTCCGCTACCATGCAAAATTCCAGTGTACAATCTAAACAGTTATAACCAACCAAGATCGATCACTTTCCCCAATCCGCACAACACTCCGGCTTCCTTTGTGCAACCAAGCAGTCGTCCAGTCTTGAGCCAATGCCATTCAGCGTTGTTGCATTCAGAAGTTCATCTTGAACATTATCGGGTCATTGGGCTGCTGTCATTTAACAGAGAGGGAGAGAGGGAGGGAGGGAGGGAGGGAAGGAGAGAGTGGTCATTTTGGCGCAAGTCATCTCGCCGCTCTACCCTTCGAGGGGGGGAGCGCTCGGGGGCGGCCCCTCGGGATCACAGAAGGGTTGTCTTTGTGGTCTTGAGGGGTCGAAGTAAGTCGAAGTGGTGCTTCCGGGAAGAGCTGGGAGCTGCGCACCAGGACATGCCTGGGCCTCGGCTCTACACACTCTTTGCGAAGGCCTGCAAGGGGCTCTGGGGCATAGCGGCATAGCATGTAAGGCCGTAAGGCCCCATGTCCTTGTCTTGTCAGGCCGGAGCCAAGGCCGCATGCGTGATTTCCGAGCGGGGAGAGCTCGGGACTCGGGGCCGAGCTGAGCTGAGCCATGGGGGTCCCATGCGTTCCGCCCGCGAGCGCGAGGTTCAAAGGCATGATTTCCAGGAAGGGGCTCATCGAGACCACGCGCCGCTACGAGGAGGAGCTAGCTCAGCGCTGCTACGGGGCGGGAGATGTCTTGCAGAGCGGTGTGGGGTGTGGCAGGCCAGCGACGAAGGCTTGGAGGAGAATTTGGGCGAAGATGACGAGGAGCAGAGCCTGGCCAGCTGCTGAAAGTGTGGAAGTCCTATTTCCTCTCCCTCTCTTCATCTCTTCTCTCTTGCAGCTCATCTTGACTGCGCCAAAACCCAGAGCTGACAGACAGCACTGCAAATTGGGACTGGTGGAGATGGAACGCGGTCTGAATCGAACTCCAACCGCTTCGACAAGCAAGAAGCTGTAGAATTTGACTATGCGGGACCATTTTTTAGCGCATAGCTTCACGGAATGTGCTGTGCCCGATTGCATGGGGGCCTCCAATGCCGATCTGCCCAATCCGGCTGCAACGCAAGCCGCGAGACATGGCTGAGAAAAGTGTGCCAAGCTGCGCGGACAGGTTCTGAGATGGCAGCAGCAGCAGCACATAGTGCTTTCAGCAAGCTTTTGAGGCAAAGAAGCCCCGGACAGCACAACTGACTCGGTTAACCGAACCAGGCACGAGAGCTAAGACAGCACTGTTTCGTGATAGCGAGGTACCACCCTTCAGCGTTTCACGACTCATTATGGTATCAATCGTAGCTAGTCTACAATCTAGTCGTTGGCCATGCCGAGGTTGTCCTGCCCTGATTCTGTCGTTCCAGCTGTGTTTCACCGTAGTCTTGAGCTGCTGGGCTTGTCCGGACAGCTACCGTACAGGTCGGACAACTCTAACAAGCATTAGAAGCGCTTAGAGCCTGCAATTTAAGCGTAGACTTAGACAGTCTCTGCATTGGAAAAAGACGCAGCCTGGCATGGCGCGTACGGCATCACACTCAGCGCGTAGGCAATGGGGCATGGTTACCGAAGACAGTGAGCTTTCTGAATCGCGTGAGCCTTATCACCTCATCTTCTTGCCAGTCCTTCAGGGAAGTTCAGGCAGGCCCCAGGACGCCCCGGGACTCGCGCTATGGTTTGGTCTCATGTTGCCCTTGCAGTGCTACGCCAAACAGTAGGCTTCTGCGACATTTGCCCGTAGCATCATGGACGGCACGCCGCAACTGGAAACGGAAGATTCGAGTTTCAGGCGCCAACTTGTGTGAAGATGTTGTTCTGCACTTTCGGAATGCAGAGTTGACTTTGGATTGTGAGATGTACTTATTCTTGTCGCCTTCCTGACAAAACTGCACGCCTTAGTTCAGAGGACGAGCCCCTGCACATGCACAGCACGACGTCGAACAGACTCCAAGCCTTGAATCCTGAATGCTTTTTCACGAGCGGTACTCGTGTTTTCTTTGCTCTTGGCTTCTCGCTGGGCGTCTTTTTGTTTGTTTTCCATTGCGTGGCTTCCTGCCTTCTTGGCCTCTCATTTGCTTTGTTTTGGGCGGTTTCGTTGTAATCTGTTATGACCACGACTGGTACTGTTAGAACTAATCGTGTGATTAGTGCTATGCTTATTCGTGGTTTGATTGCTACATGACTCTTGCCACTACCACCACTACCAGTAGCACTACCACTACTACTGCTATTTTTGCTAAGTAGAGCTGCTGCTGCTGCTACTACTGCTACTACTACTACTACAACTACTACTACTACAACTACTATACTACTACTACTACTACTACTACTACTACTACTACTACTACTACTACTACTACTACTATACTACTACCACTACCACTACCACTACCACTACCACTACCACTACCACTACTACTACTACTACTACTACTACTCCCACTCCCACTCCCACTCCCACTCCCACTCCCACTCCCACTCCCACTCCCACTCCTACTCCTCCTATTCCTATTCCTACTCCTACTCCTACTACTACTACTACTACAACTACTACTACTACTACTACTACTGCTACTACTACTACTACTACTACACATACACACCAAAAACTTAGAGAGTGCAACGCCCTGGTGGCGTGTATTTCTCGGTAATTTAGAGGTTTTCACACGAGTTTATGCACCCAGAATATTAAGCGTTGTGTTGCCTCATCCAGGCATGCACCCTTGATTTTGAGTCTTGGGCATGTCACGAAGTAGGAGTTTGTTGGGGAAGAGGGAGGAGGTTTGCCATCCAGCATCTCCATTGAAGTTGAGGTGCGTGATCTGGCATATCATGTCAAAATCATTAAGAATCCATCACAACCCCTGGGTGTCTATCCACATATGCATCTGGCTTTAATGGATGCGTGTTTATGGAAATGTGTATATTTACATGTGCATACGAATGCTGACCTGTAACTTAATGTATATATCATGTCTTCAACTAGGGATTGAAATTGTGGTGGGCTGCAGCATAAAAGCGACTATATTGACAGGCAGACCGTCCTCGATGTGTATATACAACCGCATCTGAAGCCGTGGCTACACTTATAAAGCTCTGAGGGGTTTGCCACCTTTGAAGGTTTGCTACCCCGTCATCTACTATTGAAGCCTTGGATTGAGAGTGCAATATCTTCTAGTCTGCCTGTATTTGGGAAAACAGTCATCGATTTGAGAATCCAGTTGTGGTTCCGCCACTCATCGAACTTCTACGGGGGTTTGGCTCATTACATCCATGCGCGGCACTGCGTTTCAGCCGAATGTCTTCCAGTAGAGTTTGGATGCTCTGGACACACGTCATCGTTTTCGGTACTCAGGTTCGCTACACACTATATATCTTTCGTGGATAAGTGTAGCCCGTGATATGTACTAAAGTGTTCAGACTCTGGTTTTTATTCTCGTGGTCTCCCAGCATCCCCTAATGTGATTTGCATTTCTGGCTGGGTGGGCCACACCTTTTAAGGATTAGCTTACGGTGTAATAGGGCATGTTAATCAGTTATTCTATTGAAGACCTGTTGTTCGCCATCATCCACCCACTTCCATGTAAATCCCAAAGACAATGTAATTACCCATTTCCGTGATGCACACAAAGTTATATGTGTGTGTATGCATGTATACATGTGTCATCCACCCATAATATGCTTGCAAGGTTCCAATTTACATCGTGTGTGCAACTGCAGCGTGGCCTTGCGGTTACATACCCAGGTACTTGCATGTATATCGCAAAAAAAACCTATCTATATGTGCATATTTATATAGAGATAGATTTATGCATATACATGTGTGTGCGCGTGCATGGGCTTCCAAAGTTCACGAACTTGTATATGGTTGCATAGGCTTCGAGAGTGCATGAACTTGTATACGTGCATATCTATGTATATATATATATATATGTACACACACATATATTACATGTATATGTAGATGTATATATGTACAGGTGGGAGGACGTGCTTCCACACAGATTTGAAATTCCGCATCCTGTACCCACCATGCCCTTTCGGGGTTTGGGATAGGAGCCTGCGGCCCTCCATTTTCCTTTCAGTGCATGGCTGCCTAAATGCCTCATTGTTGCATACACATATGCTCGCTTATTTCAGAAATATTGCACATGTTTCCGTGATATTTATGTATGTACGTATATACCCGTGTATGTACATATGTATTAAGCATATATGTATGTGTGCATAAGGATGGGAAAAGCATGAACATGGAAACAGCATGAGCATGTGTGTATGTAAGCTTACACATCCATATGCAGGTGTGTATGCATGCCTTCATGTCATATACCAACATGCATACACAGACGTGTATATAGATACATACATATATATGTTAGTACAAACACCTATATACCAAGGTTGGCTTCCAGGTAACTATATATGTTCCGCCTCAAATGTAACAAGGATTTTGTAGCTTGCAATTTTTACTGCATTGTCTAAGTTTCTGGGTGAGGGTCCAATATCTTCTACAGTCTAAGGTTTTGGGTTCGCCACCCAGCATCTCTTGAGACGGTTAGGACCATCATATGCATTTGGGTTCGAGGCCCAATAACTCCTTCTGAACTTGGGTCCCGGTACAAGGATCTTATTCCCATCATACTTTTACTGTGTAGAATGAATTACCCATCATACTTCTGTCACAGTTTTCAGGTGTTGGAGCCGCTTTCCTAGGTGGTGGACAACACTAGCAAGCGTAAAGTCTTGACAGAGGGATGTTTCATTGGACAGGACAGGATTGGTGGCATACTGGAAACCTTGAAATGATTGAGCAACGCTGGATTGGGAGTGCCAAAGGCCGAAGGCTCCAGGCATCCTCTGCTTACAGACATGCGCCCTCCGGATGGCCCCTGGGGGCCGGGCGCCAAAAAAAAAAAAAAAAAAAATTGGCCAGAGATTTTGCACACAAGATTTTTTTTTTCTTTTTTTTTTGGCGCCCCCCCCCCCCAGGGCTCCAGGGCTCCAGGCCTCCATACTCCAAGGCCTAGAGGCCTAGAGCCACACCTTAAGGCCATGCCCTTATGTCCTTGAAAGTTTGTCCCATAACTTTATCTCTCTCTGACCGGTGTTCGGTTATGCCCGAACATTTTCAAATGGTTTGGTGGAATTTGTTGTCAATTCAGAACACGTCGTAAAATGTTGTATGCTGCTAAAACAATGTTGCGGGAAACGAAGAGCTTGCTGAGCTTGCCATCTGAGAGTGCAAGTGAAAACACGAACACACGAAAAAGCACGCCACCAGGGCGTGATGTTCTGAAAACTTAAGCCCGAAACCCAAAACCCTAAGCGCAAGAATAACAAAACCCCAACCCCTGAACCAAAAACCCTGCCCCAAACCCCAAATCCTAAAAGCCCGAAGGCCAAAACCCTGAGGCCTTCGCCCAAAACCCTGCGCCACTTACCCAAAACACCAAGCCCCGCGTCCGAAATCCTGAAGCCCCAAACCCAGAACACTAGACCCAAACCCAGAACCCTAAGCCCAAAACTCCAAAACCTCAAGCCATGAACTCGCCCCAAGCCCAAAACACTAAGCCCCGAACCCAAAAACCCTAAGCCCAAACCCAAGACACTGTAGACCCAACCCCGGAACCCTAACCCCAAAACACAAAACTTTAAGCCCTAAACCCTAAAACCCTACGCCCAAAACCCAAAAGCTTATGCCCAACACCCCAAAACCCTCAGCTTTAAACTCAAAACCGTAAGGCCGAAACCAAAACCCTAAGCCCCAGGCTCAAGCCATTTTGGCTCAAGGCTCGACGTTCACTCGGTCGCGCCGCCTGCTACTTAGGGAGGTCTCCATGGGCCATCCGGGCGTGTCTTGGCCGATCAGCGGATCAGGGGCTTCCCATCGACAGCGTGGTTCCCCCTAAGAGTGCTCTGCTCCCAAATGGTGTGCCGGGTGACCGCCTTCTACTTGATTCAGTGCTTCCGCATTCTTATGGCTACGGCTGGGGTGCGCATTCCGGTCCCAGGGATCCCGGACGACGACGCTGATCTGGATCAGGAGGTGCCGGGAGGGCCGGGAACAGCAGGCAGGGCGAGGGAGGCCAGCCCGGCTAAACACAGTCGGGGGCACAACAAGGCTGAGGAGACGGTGACGATGGATGCCCTAAGACAGCTCTTGGCAGAAGAATCGGTATCGTTGCTGCAGGCTCAGCAAGTTCAGATCAGTTCCTCCTTGCAAGCCTTTGAAGATCGACAATCGGCTAGGCTGGATGGAGTGGAGGCTGTGGTCAAAGGGCAAGGGGCCGCGGTCAACTCCTTGGAAGTGCAGATGAAGGATCGGGTTTCCAGAGTAGAATCGTAGAACCGATGACTTGTTTGTGTCGCCTTTGGGGGAGGTGATCCAGCAGGATTATTGACTGCGATTCCCGGCCGGCCAACTTGACCAGAATGACGCATTTACTCTTCTTGACGACCAGACGGTGCTTCTGAACCTCTGCCAGGAGCGAGGCAATCCGTCAGGTCTTGTTCCGAGCGAATGGTCCGGTGCAGCGTGAGATCGTCTGCGTAGCCCGTGAGGAACTGCAGGACCTGTTCAGCTCCAAAGAGGTCGACGAGCGAGCGAAACAGACTGCCTGTCAAGAAGAAGAAGAAGAAGAAAGGAGTGGGAGCAAGCTTGCAACCTTGCTTAATGCCCGCCGTGGTTTCTATGGAGGTGGAGTCCCCCTGAACCTAGGCTTGTCGTGCAGTTGGACTAGGCGGACGGTGTCCCCATCGGCTCCTTCTGACTGAAGGAGACCGATGATGTCCTGGCGAGAGACGGTGTCAAACGCCTGACTCAAATCGAGTGCAAAGGCCATTCCTCCGACCAGAGTTGGGATGGGAATGCCTTGCTCAATAACATGCCGGGAGGGGTGAGCTTGCTGCAATAGTGTCCTGGCTTCCCTAAGGTGGTGAACCACACGATCCAGCACGCCCGATAAGCCTCGCCCTATGCGAACTGCGGCAGGTTCTTCAGGTATGCTGAGGTCAGAGGCTGGAGCGCTTCACGTACCTTTAGCATCCGGACGAAGAATGGCAAGGGGACGCAAATTCGCCGTGTGATTTGTCACGGACATGCGTACATGTGCTTCTGTGTCCTGGTTAGGATTCACGCCAACTTTGTCTCACTTACGCAGCTTGACTGCTCAAGACCGACTTTACGTCAGGTCCAGGAAAAGACCGCTTGCACCTAGGGAGGTGTAGGACTTGTCTCTTACCTGAGCGTCAACCTTACGGTTTTAATCTCTGATCATCCTTGCTTTGCCTGCTGCCCTGCTTTGATCTACGATTGGTTGCCTTGGGCTTTGTGACCGAGAGTTGAGTGGAATCCTCCGCTTTTCACAGGTTATCAGCCGTAGGGCCTCCGCATCCGATTGTGGATTGCTGCTTCGCTGCTGCTGCTCGGCACTCGGACCGCCTGATCCAATCAGCGTCCGATCACTACCTTTTTCCTGGCTCAGACCAAGTTCGGAACTTGTGATTGGCCGCGCCACCGAGAGTATGGCGACTCCGATCGGTTCTCCCCGTGTCCCCTCGACTGTCGGTTCTTCACTAGTGACGCCAGTTGCTCGGGATGTCGTGGAGCCCGATGATAGTGCCCACGCATCTCGCTGCACTGCGCCCGCCTCGCACGCTTCGCTCGCTCGCTCTGCTTCGCTGCTTGCTTCGCTGCCTGCTGAGGACGATCAGAGAGCTCAGCACCATGCGCCGCCTTTGCCATGCTCTGCTGCTGCTGCTTTCGCAACGCCTGGCACGATGCACGCCGGCATGCTGCCTGCTTCTGCCACCGCTCGTGCTTTGCCCTTGTTGCCTGCCTTTTCTGCATCCGCTGCTCCTGCTGCTTCTGCACCTACCCTTCTTCCGACCGATCTCTCATCTTGTCCTCTGTCCCTTCGCGGGGATCCAGAGGGCTCTCGGGCCCTTTTTGGGTCCGGGCCGGACGACCGTGGTCCACCGATTTCGGACCCGCATCCTTTCGTCCACCGCGCCCCGATTCTTACGGGCCGGTGGCTGGCCGCGGTGGAGCTTCGCTCCCCGACGAGCCCATGAGCGAGCAACCGGGTGCACCCCATGTTTCCGTCGCAACGATTACCGCGGCGGATCATGGTGGTGCTGCCCCCGCCAACGATAACGGCGGGAGGCTTACCGGTCCCCGTGCTGTCGGGGCTCTGGTCGATGAAGCCATTGGGTCGGAAGCATCCGCGTGCATCGCCGCCGATATTCTGGCGATCGCGCAGGGTGTGACCAGCACCCAAGCCGACCTCGATATCTTGAGGAACGGCGTCTCGGATATCACTGAAGCACTTGAGAACAAGATCCGAGACATGTGGGAGCTTCTTCAGGCCGAGTTGAGGAAAGAACGTGAGCTGTTCATGCAGTTCCAGGACTCTTTCCGCGAGAGGCGGATTTCTGACCACGAGACGCTTGAAGATCATTTTGCGAAGCTCACTTCGATGGTCAATGACCGACTCATCGAGTTTGATGAGCGGATCCATCACTTCAACGAAAAGCGTGCTGGATCACTATCCATGCAGCTTGCTGAAACGATCCGTCACATCAAGCAGTAATGTGGGTGTCGGTTTAGGAATATAGGCTCCTTTAATGCGTCGGCTCGCGGGCTAATTCCGAATCCGAGTAAAATTTTTGGGGTACCAATTAATGCGTTTTTTTTTGGCTGGGGTGATTTTTTGGTGGCGGGGCTGTGCTATTTGCTGATGGTCAATCTTAAGGCAGCCACGACCTAAACCCCCACCCAAACCCCCACCCAACCCTAAAACCCTGGCCCTGAAGCCCGAAAATCTCTTGCAGAATTGTTTCGCTTATTGGGGCGTCAGGAAAGGACTCTGTACTACTACTGTACTACTATTGTACTATTGTACTGCTACTGTATGCCTTGCTTATTGGGGGGGGCTGCTAGGGTGAACCGCCGAATCGGGGATTGGACCCTAGCTCAAAAGAGGCCTCTCCAGTACTAAAGTTTGTATAAAAAATTCAATTTTGGGTCCAATCTGGACCGACCCCCATTTGGGAAGGGTTTAGGGCTTAGGGTTTAGGGTTTGTTAAGGTTTAGGAGTTTAGGGTTCGTTAGGGTTTAGGGGTTAGGGCTTAGGGTTTAGGGTTCAGGGTTTAGGGTTTCAGGCGCTGGCTTTATGCTTTGCTTATTGGGGGAATGTGCTCACTGGCTTTATGCTTTGCTTATTGGTATTATTTCTGTACTATTACTGTATTACTATTGTACTACTGTACTACTGTTGTACCACTACTGTACTACTAGTGTACTACTGTACTACTATTGTACTACCACTGTACAATTACTGTACTACTATTGTACTACTGTACTACTATCGTATTACTACTGTACTACTATTGTACTACCACTGTACTACTGTTGTGTTACTATTGTACTACTGCACTACTAGTGTACTACTACTGTACTACTATTGTACTACGGTACTATAATCGTACCACTACTGTACTACTAGTGTACTACTGTACTACTATTGTACTACCACTGTACTATTACTGTACTACTATTGTACTACTGTACTACTATCGTATTACTACTGTACTACTATTGTACTACCACTGTACTACTGTTGTATTACTATTGTACTACTGCACTATTATTGTACTACTACTGTACTACTACTGTACTATTATTGTACTACGGTACTATACTCGTACTACTACTGTACTACTACTGTACTACTATTGTGCTACTATTGTACTACTGTACTATTATTGTACTACTACTGTACTACTATTGTACTACCACTGTATTACTGTTGTGTTACTATTGTACTACTGCACTATTATTGTACTACTACTGTACTACTACTGTACTACTATTGTATTACTGTACTATTATCGTACTACTACTGTACTACTTACTACTGTACTACTATTGTGCTACTATTGTACTACTGTACTATTATTGTACTACTACTGTACTACTATTGTACTACCACTGTACTACTGTTGTATTACTATTGTACTACTGCACTATTATTGTACTACTATTGTACTACTACTGTATTATTTCTACTGTACTACTATTGTACTACAGTACTATTATTGTACCGCACAAAGCTTCAGACGTGGTCGATTGTGGGTGGGAGTGTGTGAGTGTAGGTTACGGAGGCAAAAGTGTTCAAAATGAATGGTTTTTAGTCTTGGTAGTAGTCTTGGAGTGATCGGGGCTTGGTTTCCAGCATTTGGTGATCCCCAGACCCCCCCGACCTCCGACCGCGCATTCGCGCAGAACCGCAGACCCTGCACCCAAGCCAACCCCCCAAACCCCGGCACCTCCCAATTCCCTGCCACTCAGACCCCTGACCCCTGTCCGGCTCCACTTTAAATAGAATTTTTTTTTTTGGTCGGGGGGGGGGCGGGGGTACCCCACTATTAAACCGACACCCACATTACCCAGACGCGCTGCGGCAGATCCAGATCAATATCTCAAATGCCGAGGCGCCGGTCGCTGCGGTGGAGCAGAGCGCTACCCACCGCATCGAAGTCATCAGATCCGAGATGAGTCGCGCTCTCTGCGATCATAAGGAGAGTAACCGAGCTCATATCGATCAGCTGACTGCCTGGATACAGCACCTCGAAAACGCTCACGTCCGCAGAGGCGGTTCTGATAGATCGACGCCTTCGCGTCCGGAACGGACGCAGTTCTTCGATATCAGTGACCATGATGGGGATATCCCACGCCCTGCGGATCTGCCACCAGTTCCAGGTGCCCTATTCCCTGGCGGCCAAACTACTGCCATTCCGAGATCTTCACTGTTAGGTCCGATTGATCATGGCTCTCCGCCGGGATGCAATGCTGCACCTGCTGAAAAGGCCTCAACTGTGCACTCTCAGACGAGTGGCATCAACCTTGATGAAATTTTGAGGCGTGCACAGCAACGAGTCGCTGACGAACATCTTGGCGAAAGTCACGGGCAAAATAATCCTGTTGAGCCCGTTCGACAGAATTATGGCCAAACGTCAGCCTCATTTTCAGGGAGATCGCCGGATCCGGCCGTTCCTCCCGCAAATGCCGATGGAGCAGTCGATGAAGCTCCTCGAGTTGACATTCGACCTGTTCCTGAAGCTCGAAGCTTCGCTCCTGAGCCCAGGCCAAGCCCTACCTTCCCGTGCCAAATCTCCTATGACACTCGATCCGTTCCGGCAGGGAAGGGTCCTTCAAGGTGGTATGATGCGATGCTTGGCCGATCGAATCTCATTGGCAGTGGTGCCGGCGCACCGATTCTCCATAGTGAGACTGGTACTTTCACACTGGCGCCGAACACAAGTGTCACAGCAACACTTCGACCTGCTGCGACAAACGATGCTATGCCCCCGATGCCCACCTTCAATGCCAGAACGTCCGTTCCTGCACCCAGTGCCGCGCCACCCGGAGTTGGCGGACCGCCGCCCGCGAATAACGGAGGCGGCGGTTCCCCCGGTGGTGATGGTCCCAACGATAACGGGGGTGCATATGGCGGTGGTTTCGGAGGATATGGACATCATGGGTCTGGCTATGTCCCTGGTGGCGGTGGTGGCCCTCCCGGTGGCCCACCTGGTGGTCCGCCTGGTGGTGGTGGCCCTCCTGGCGGGAGTGGTCCGCCCGATGGCGGCCTTGATCCGCCAAGCATTCGGCCTACCGGTCGACCGAGCGGGAATGATACTTTCCAGTGCGAGCGCTGCACCGGAACTTTCCCGACCACCGTGCGACGACCATGCATCTCTTGTCGATTCTCATGTTGCAATGGTTGCTGCCGAGATCCGTTGAGAATCTGTCTTGTGTGCCTTGAGAGACAGACTGGGAACCCGCCTGGCCCCAACGATTCGGGACCTGGTGGACCCAAGGGTGATGGATCGTTGAGCGATGCGAAGAAGGCAAAGTGTAAATCCTTCCGGCTTGACCCTGAGCCTGAGCCCGCACAATTGCGACGTTGGATCGTCGATATGAAGGAGCGGGTTGCCAATGCCTTCGCATACGATCCCGGGTACGCACTCTCATGGGTCGAGATTCCCGATGGCACTCGCTACGAGGACCTTCTTGATGAGTGCAAGTACGGAATGCTCGAGAACGAATGCAATTCGGCTTTCCGTGAGTGCGTTAAGTCTATTGCTTTGAAGAACAAGATTCAGACCGAAACCGAGCGCATGCATACGATAAACCGGCGACTCGGGAGTAGGCAGATATTGTGGCTCTTGTATGACTTTCTCCGGCCGCATGTCACTGGCGACTCGACTTTCAAGCTCGTTGATCTTATGAAAACCACGATTGATCGGTTTACTCATGGATCCGAGCAGGAGAGGCTTGAAGCCTTCTCCAATCGGTGGGATCATGTTCTCGCTGGTATTTCGGTCGATCGCCCTGAAGATCCTGTTCTCTGTGCCCTCTTCTACGAGCAGGTACGTGAGTTCCGTTGCCTTGAGCTCGATATGCAATTGTGGGCCAGAGATGTGTCTGTGCGGAACTACGCATATTTGCGAACTGGCTGCGTCAATGCGATTACAACATGGCGCCGACGACGCAATCAGGAGAAGATGTACACCGCTACGCGATCATCCTCCGCGCAGAGGCGATACGCTGCACCTGCGCATGGCAGTCCGCGTAGATCCTTCTCCCGAGGTCAGAGAGGGTCCAGATCGCCTGGCCGCCGTGACTCCAGGAGAGGGAGTCCGTACTAAGATTGTGCTTGTGGCTTATAAGGTAAGATATACATGTTACTAAGAGGTTAAATAAGTTAGCTAAAAAGATAACATAAGTTAACATAAGTTAGAAAAAATTAGCTTATACAGGTTAAAAATAGCGAAACGGAGAAACAACAAGAATCGAGACGCAAAGACACACCATGGCAGACAAAGGCACAAAGGCGCAAACTTTCCGAGTTACTCGCAAGCTTTCTGCGACTATTTACTCACGCAAGACGTCCGGCAAATATCAACTGCTTTAAAAAGAGATGCAAACCTTCCGGCTCATGGGAGTGCAAGGCTTCCAGCTCATATAGAGACTTAAGGGCAGCATCGCATGAGTGCATGCAGTATGCATCCCCGGACTGGCTGCAGTCTTTTCCTCAGACCGCTCGCTGCGGCGACCACTGCAGAGTCAGAACAACATCGTCAAAGAGTTTCCTTCCAGCATCCAGCAAGGCGGCAGCAAGAATTGGTGCTGCTGCAGGCAGGCTCGCATTCTTTGCAGTGGTTCTGCAAACACTAAACACCCAGGCTCTGTCTTGACTTCCATGAACGCTTTGAGAGAGATCCAGATGATTTGCTTTTCCAGCCAAATTTCTTCCACCAAACCTGCTTTGCGGTGCAAAGGAAACCAAACGACTTGGCCAAGCTCAATCTTGTAGGGCCCAGAATCCAAGCGATTTCCGTCGCAACTGAAACCGAAGGGTTGTTCTTCGCGGATTTCGGAAATCTGCAGACTCCAAAGGGAGTGCAGCACGGACACCACCGAATTGTGTCCCTTTCCGGACAGATGCTCGATTTTGGTCTTTGCGGCGCGATGTTTGCGCTCGAGAACGAAAGCATCCAGCATCCGACAGTGGTCTCTGTACTGCTGCACTAAGTGCAGCATGTAATGTGTTTTTGGCCTCATCTTCTCCAAGCCGTAGACCTCATGAAAAGCAGCAATGTAGGCGTTGATGGCGTTCTGGAAACGGCATGCCAATGCTTCCGCATGATTCCGCAGAGCTTCAGCCGATTCAGCGTGCTTCCGCACAGTCTCACCGTAAGGAGTAAACTTGATCTGCATCCACAAAGATAGGACGGAGCCGAGAAGGAGAAACGCCCGCAATTCCTTCTTCATGTCAGGACAAGTTACGGTTGGAAAGACTATGAAACGAATGAGGAAGTGAAGCAACGGAGCAGCTCCAAGCTGGCTGGATGCGGAGACTTTCCAAGTTCCATCTTCAGTGAAATATTTGTCTCCCAGCTCGCGAGCAAATTGCGCCCGGCCGACCTTGCGAGTGCTTCTTCGGTGCTTGATGGAATCATCTGTGCAGGCTTCGGCTATGCGGTCAGGGGTCCAGCCCATCTTCTGCAATGCCTTCAAAAGAAAGCCGACATGCCTGGAAAACTGTCCCTGCACGAAGAAGACATGCATGGGATCGAAGTAGTGCGTCAAAGGTGGCACTTCGCGCCGAGTAGCATCGTCCGTGAGCAAGCTTCCTTCCAGAGCATTCCAGCCAACGTCTGTGACAAGTTGCTTGACTTTGGTTGTCCTGACGAAGACCGTGGGCAAACACACGTAGCCCAAAAACGTGTTAATGCCTCTATGTATTTATGTATATATACACCTATATAAGCAGTTGCCATTGTTTGGAAAACCCTGCAAAAAAAACAACACATGTCTGCGAAATATCATTTACGAGAAAAGTGACGGCTGGGTTCGGGATGCCGCCAGGACATGGTCCACCACCTCGAAGATGTGCTCATTTGTCATAGTGCGAAGCTGATTTTCCGTGGCCTTCAAAGTTCGCAGGCCTTGGCGGTCAGCGTCTGGCGGCAACTTCTTGAAGCGACTGTAAACGTTGCCGCAGCGGAAGCAAGGCTTGTTTCCTGACTGTCCGGTGCTTCCCAGCACTCCATGCAAAGCCGCTGCATCATACAAGCAATGCGAAACAGCACCATGCACGAAGAGCTGACTTCCGCCGAGCTGGATATTGGCACCCAGCTGCAGATATCGCAGGTGGCGGTACAAACATCGTACAAAGCCAGACAATCCTGCCTTGACGGTTTTCATGGTGACAGTGGGCACAACGGTGAGCACGAACCAGCACATCTCGGACAGGAGGAACTCCTCGAACTCGAGTGCGCTGATGTAAAAGCAATACGCCCTTTGCCGGTTGTCCGGCGCCAACGGGTTGCCGGGCGTCACCTCGTCACCGTAAACAGAAAACCGGAGCCTGAGGCTTCCGCCTGCCGCCTTCGCCTGGAGTAGACGCTGGAAATCTGGCGACTCCCGCGCCAAAGCTTCCCAGGCATTGAAGACGTTGAGGACGGGGTACCTCAGCGGCTCTGCTTCCGCAGCCGCTCCCGTGGCAGAAGCTCCCGCAGCAGCCGCTCCCGCGGCAGCCGCTCCCGCGCCGCCCGCCGCTTCCGCAGCAACACCCGCCGCTTCCGCAGCTCGCGGAATCTCCACGTAGTCGTAGAGAGCATCCACGGCGGCCTTCTCCGCTTTCCTCCTTGTTCTGGGGTCCACCTGCTCCCCAGCGAGGTCTCGAACGGCAGACGGCGGAGCATCTCGTCTGGCTGCGTGGCGAGCAACCCTCTCGGTTGTCTCGCTTTCCAGCCACACCACCCACCAGCCAACTCTCCGGTCACGTACCGCAGTCCGAGAAGACCAGAGGATGTGCCGGGCCGAGCTGGAGCACTGTTGGAAGACTTGCTCAGACTGACAGCATTGATTGTCTGCATGTGCGACTGCAGCAGCTGCTGACTGCTGACTCTGAAGGGCCACACATGCAAGATGGCCGGCCGATCGAATCAATGCTGGGGCCCCCAGCTCTGACTGGTTTAATAAAGTGAAAGTACGGGTTTAGGGGTTTGGGGTCCGGGCATGAGGCTTCTCGAACGCTAAATCCTGAACCGTCCGAGTTGCAAGCTCGTCGCTAAAACCTCAATCCTTCAACCGTTGCTCAACCTCAAAACCCTAAGTCCTCAACAACCTTAAAACCCTAAGTCCTGACCTCATGAAGCCGTCCCTGTCTCGAGCGAGTGTTATTTTGTCCAAGTCCTGATTAACCTTAAACTCTAATACCTCAACCTGTGAACCCCGAGCTCTCAACCTCCCAAGCCCGAGCTCGGGTGCACTGGGCCAGACGAGGCGGGGAAGTTTGTGCTCAGACAGGGCCTTCGGGCCCTGTTTGTCACAACTTCAATCGTTCGATTGTCGTGCTCAGACAGGGCCTTCGGGCCTTGTTTGTCATGGCAGTCAAGGGTTGAGAGTTCTGCTCAGACAGGGCTTCGGCCCTGTTTGTCAGGCTCTCTACGGTGTCCGTCCGAGCCCAGCATCCTGAGTGTTTTCGAAGGGAGGCTCCGACAGGGCTTCGGGTGTGTTTTGGGATTTTGAGAGGTCCTGACAGGTCCGAGGTCCGAGAGCCACACCCAATGAAAACTCGCCTGATAATTCAATAAACCCCCACTCAGGTCGAGTGAGATGGTGGTCCAGCAAAGCAGGGGCCTAAGTCCGAGGAGCATTGGGAACTCAGGATTGAGAGTGCAGTCGCTTTAGTCACTGAGTGCGCATCTGTGGCCATCAGACCTCCTGAATCCAGGCTCTTATCAGAAGCCTCCCACAGTATACTTCGCCCGAGACCAAACGACATCGCCCCGCCCGAGATACAAGCAGACAAGCCGAAAGCTCAAGAAAACTCTCAAGGTCGAGCCAGCTGCTGTGTCCGAGTTGATTCTCGATCCGATTCCGAAGGCTCGCCTTTGGTGCATGCAGCTTTTGCCTTCTGCAGCTGTTGCTCATCGCATGCATTCTGCACTGCAGGGCTGCATCAGCATTGGCGTTCGCATTGCATGAGCTGAGCTTGATACATATCGCGAGGTGGGCTCAGGATTGGGCAGTGCATCATGATCATGTCACACGTCCGAGTTACAGTGACACAAGAATCAGAACCCAGGATATTTTATTGCTAAGACTACCTAGGGATGCATCACCAGCCATCACACGTCCGAGTGACACTGACACTAGAACCCAGGATATGCCAGTACTAGCTAGGGATGCATCACCTAGCCAGGAATCACACGTCCGAGTGACACTGACACTAGGACCCAGGATATGCTAGTACCACCTAGGGATGCATCACCTACCCATCACAGGTCCGAGTGGCACTGACACTAGGACCGAGCATCACCGCATTCCTTGAACTTTCGCCTCCTCCATGGCTGCTCCAGCCATGAACTTCGACACCATTCCATGGGATTTCATCAATATGGCTTGCAACATCGGAAAGCCACGACCGAGACTGGTTCCGCGCACCCTAGCTCTTAATCTTAGAACTTATTAAACAAAAAAGTACCAGGCTTATTAGGTCCCTAAGTCCTAGACCGCCTCAGGCTTTTCGTCCGACATCCCGATGCTCGACCAGTCTCGGCTGGATATTGAGAACGAGCTCGACGACAGGGTGGTTCGCTTCATGTACGATGTTTCGTACGACTTCTGCTGGACGCTTCGCTGGCTCAGGGCTGATCTGCCAACCTGGGCGGTGCCATGTCTAAATTGGGGTGTAAGGCTTGGGTAAAATCGGAAGGGAGCTTCTGACTTTAAGTGGACCACGACCCTGACAGGCGATTCTGTGCTGTGCCTGTCACTCACACTGGAGGGCGTTCGACATGACGAGGCAGTTGGTCCAGTATGGCGTCCGAGTGGCACTCAAATCCAAAGACTGGGACGAGTCGTCTGTCTCGAGCAAACTGCTCAGTGGCACTCGCAGGATCACCCACTGGCTGCGACACTCATCTGAATTCAGTTATAATACTTAATTTCTTGATGGCTCGGACTCATAGCACACTCAGGAATCCAGCACATCCATCCCTACGGAGTGCCGAAGCGCGGTGACAGACCTGTCGGTCGGCCGATCGAGCACTGGGCGGCTTATCTGAAAAGGGGTTGAGGCCTGATATAGGGTTTAAAGGGTTAGGTTCTTTCCGTTGTGGCAATTTTTTACAGACGGCCAGCAAGGTGGATGTCGATGCGTCCGAGTTATGGACGCTGTGCCCCGGGTTTGCGTGGGCGCTGGGGCGGTTCGACCGAGTGCCACGCCAAATCTGGAAGGACTGCGTCGGCATGTGCAGAATCTCTGTCAATGTTGGGTAACATTTTACATTTTTATGGGTACTTGAACCCAATAAGGAATAAACATGTAAATTTTTAATCCTATCCCAACAATGAACTAGGCCTGAATCCCGCCGGACACGGCCTGGACTACCTTCTGGAATTTGCGGTGCACCTCCTCGTCAAGATTGTCCAGAATGTCGTCAACGGCGACAGCGACGCCATGGACAAGGCGCAGAGGTCGCTCCGCTTTTTCGTCGAAGAGAATCCAGGTACCACTTTGGAAGACTTTTCTTTGAGAGTTGCCCTTTACCCTGTTGCTCCAAATCCTTGCTAGGTAAGGAATCGACCAGTTTGTGCTGAGGAAGGAATTTGTCCCCAGCAAGGCATTATGTGTCAAGTCCTTGTTTGGGGACTTTGGGGCGGAGGATGCTTCGAAGCTTTCTAGATCTCAAATTGGGTACACATATATACATGATCTATGCATGTCTTCTGTACCATCTGTATATACGCATTATATGCATGTCTCGTGTACGACCTATATGCAGGTTTGTCGCAAGTTATATGTATGTATGTATATGTATGTATGTACATGTATGTATGTATTCATTCAAAGCACACAGTGGGGTTTGAAATCATGGTGCTGCTGGGCCGAGCGCTTCGGCTGCACAATGTTCGCAAACGCAAAGGCGGGCCCTCCCCCCCGCTTGCAGCTGGCGTTGCAGGGCTGTTGCAAGGGCATGATTCATTCGATTCGACAGTGGCATTCGCATGTTCGCTTCTGCAGTGGATCCATTTTATGCAGCAGCGGCCCAAGGGAAGCTCAAAGTGCTCAGCGAGGGCACGTGGCAGAGCCGGCTAGAGTTTAAGTGCCAGCGACGATGGGTTTTGCTTTTAATGAGCAATCTGATGGTTCACTGAAGATATGCAAGCCTCTCCGGTACGTGGTGGACGCAGTTTGTTTGCACCTAACTTCGGAAATTCGCTTGAGTTCAGCTATTTCGGGATGAACTTAAGCTTGCAACTTTATCGCATTCGAGGCCGATGCCTTGGCGATCTTCGCTTCGATCAAGGGCTATGTGGAGGAGCGAGTGAACATGTTCCGTGAGGACAAGGACGAGTGTTGCAGCACGTATGTGTACACATGTAGGAATGTGTGGTGGTTTGTTTGAATCTAGCTGTGTTGCGGCCATGACCAGGGGCGGATAGATCTGATCCCCATTGCCGATGCCTCCGCCACTCGAATTACTGCACATGTACGTGCATGCACCAGTATGCATCATAAATTGTTCTTAACCACACATTTCCGAGGTATCCGACTTCGATTTGGTTGCAAACTTCGAACTGCTGAAGCTGTACACGTGTGGTTGCTTGCACACCGACCCAAGAACTGTGACCTCCCACCGAGCCCCTGGGCAAGCGACTAATTGTTGTCCCGGTTTGAACTCTCGTATCCCGGAAGCATATGTGAATCCCATGCCCTTTCAGGTTGCGATGCTTCACACGGCCGTCGTCTATGGATTCTGGCCAAACTCCTTCTTCAAGAAGCGCGGAAACAAGAAGGTGGTAAGGGATGCTTGGTTCGGGCATTTCTGCATGTGTGCGTTTCGGAATCCTGGGATACCGATCTCGGCGTATTAAGGAGTGGTGCGACCTCCAGGGGTCAAATTTGAGGCTGCTGGCATCTTATTTGATACGCCTTTCCCAAAGGACTTGGAAGGCCAAGCTGCTAGGCCTGTTCTTATGTCTAGATCTGATGCCCGCTCATGCAATTATGTCCTGAAGCAGAAATAAGTTAAGATCATTGATCTTGAGGCTTCCTGAAGTCCAAGTCCTCAAGCGGCTGTTGTATACGGCTCGCGGGCTGCTCTTGATGCTGGACAACATTAATGCACCGGATCCAGATGACGAGTATGATGTATCAGCTCGGGAAGCTGCTGCACATGATGTTGCCCTATGTCTGCAGAGTTCTAATATGTGTACGTCCATGTCGATGTACCCCAACACCCAAACAAAAGTGCCGTGCACACTAGGTTCTCGAGATTGCCGACATCGACTCCGAGCCCGAGGTTTTGAGTGTGGGATCTTCGGAGTGCAACGATGATGATGTGACGATGGATGACATTGAGATGGCGGACAAGCCGGTGCTGATGGATGATGAGAAGCTCAGTGCGAAGGTCAAATGCGAGCCTGTTGAGGTTGCTTTGCAATGCTTTGCAATGATCTTATTAAGTAGCTGTATACATGTGCATGATATTTGTACGGATCGGAGTAGTGTTTCAACAGTATAATTTGCTTCATGAGGCTCCTGAGAGCAAGATGCCCTCATCGATCTCATCGGGCACTTGTGGAACTTTCAAGGACAGGGCAACAAACTAGATTTGTAAATAATGCCGAGCTAGGGGCATCTCTATAATATATGCAATAATAATTCAATGTACCATGCTAGTGTCGGGGTGAGGATCGTGAGCCTCTTTTCCCCACTGGCTCCTACCTGAAGTTCGACGACAAGCAGGCCGAGAGCCTGCACGCGGAGGCGAGCGGATGCGACAAGGATCTACGAGATCGACAATGGCAGCTCCGTGCGAGTTGCAAGCAGGACCAGACGGACGTACACTTAACTTATTAAATCTGGTGCTATGCTAACCATAGATGGTAAATATATATATATATATATATATATATATATATATATATGTGTACATAATTATAATAATATGTGTAAAATTGGCAACAAAATGGTAAACATGTGCATATATGTTTATGTGTGTGTATATCTATATAGTTATTATGCATTGGGTATATATAATATATATATATATATATATATGGTATACGTACTATTTACATATAAACTTCATACTAGTGTCTTTGACCTGTCCCCGGATTCCTATATATGTGTTCTAGAGAAATTCGATTCTGAGATAGTCTGCCCCATGTATCTTGTGTATATGTATATATAGGTACACTTGCTGTAGATAGCATATATATATATATATACGTATCAGTCTCCCAGGACAAGGCTATGGCTCTGCTGCAGAACGCTGCGAAGAAGTCTAAGGATGCTACTTTGATCGCCGTCGCTGGGATATGATCGCACTGCATGAATTCACGCATGTACATGTAATATTCGGTTGTTGCGATGTCATGCTGGCTAATCCAAGGCTGTCGCAGCCCATGCGAGCGCCGCAGCACGTGAATCCGGAGGGCACCCAGCACCAGGCTGGAGAGGTGAATCCGGAGGAGGGCACGCAAGAGGTGAATCCGGAGGGCATGAAGCACCAGGCTGGAGAGGTGAATCTGGAGGAGGGCACGCAGCATGCTGGAGAGGTGAATCCGGAGGAGGGCACCCAGCACCAGGCTGGAGAGGTGAATCCAGAGGGCACGCAGCACCAGGCTGGAGAGGAGGTGAATCCGGAGGGCACTTTGGCTCCTTTGACGCCGCGGTGTGGAGTCCAGGATGGAGTGGATGCA